TGTTGTTTTCAGGTGACAATCACTAATTAAAACATACCTATGAATATTAAATTGTAAACACTCTGGTAAATATATACCAAGAGTTAGATAGGAAGATCAATACTACTCTCATTACTGTCAATATGAAGCTACAGGCAGCGGCAATTACCTTTACTTACCATAAAGACTTCAAACTGTATGTGTGGCAGGGACCTGAAATCTTGACATTGATGTGAGGTTGCCAGGCAACCAACATATACTCCAGGAAGTCACTGCTCCCAGATAAGAAACAGTCAATCACATAACAACCCCTAACACTGCGACTGTCATCTTACACGATTATGTACAGATTAAGCAAACCGGATATAAAGCGGTAAGCTGGAAGGTGGATTTTACATTTTCAAAACAATACTCAGCAGGTGACTGGAATAACCATCCGTCTATCACTGTTTATCACAGGCTTCAACCAATCCGAAGCCAGTTGGGTGAGGAGCGAAAACATATTTTCCATGGAGAAAAGCCTTCAGTGCCGTTCTTTGCTCTTCTGTGTGATAACGTTTTAACGGTTTAAACACTTTTTTTATAAATTTCTTCAAAATATTCCAGCGTGTTTGTACACAGACGTGTGGGTTTTTAATCCAAGTCCAGATAAAGCCTAAATCATCCACCTGACTGTTTACTTTCTACGATTTAGAGACCCACTTGCCCTAGCCTTTAAATTATGTTGATTTAAGCAGAAAAGGAACTGTAGTTTGTAGTAGTAAAGTTGCGGACTGGAAAACGTCAACACTGAACGACACTCAAACTCTCCGAGCTGTGGGGAACTGCAGGGTTGGGAAATAGTTCAAACTCTGTGGATTTGTCATTATAAGCAACACCTTTCACATACATGTGATCCTATGATAATATAAAAATATTAATTTTAAAGCCTTAAAAGTACCGGTGTGACTGCCTTTTATCAATAAATTAAAAATATGACTGAGCCCTTTATGGCCAATATGTACCCAACTTGACTAATTCATCAACAACATAAACAAAATTGTTGTAGACTTACATGTTTTTGTTCAGTATTTGTTTGCCATTTACCAGAGTAGCTCCCCTCCCTCCCCAGGTGCAGTGCAAATCAAATACAGCAATGTCTTCAATAAAAGTAATGAGAGGGATTTTAGGCATATCAATGGTGTGACTATTCTCCACAGGTTGAGGTGCTATATTAAATGAGGACATTGTAAATTACACTACATAGGTGTGAAAGTGTTGAGAAGGGGTAGTGTTGCAGGCCACATTTTCATTGAGGATGCAGAGAACTGTTTTCTCAACTAGCGAAACATTACTCAGCCATGGCAGAAGGAAGATAGGTTGCAGCTACGAGGCTACACGAACCGGAGGACGCAGGGCTCCAGGGATGTCAGGGGGAGGACTGGGGTTACAGCGTCCTGCACTCGGGGGTGTCTGGTGTGGAAGAGAGATGGAGGAGTAGAGGACGACTGTTGTTCTCCCCGAGGTTAATGTAGTACTATCAGTTGCACAACTGTCCTCTCGTGGCTGCATCTATTTCAACAAGTGCTGGAGGAAGAAAAGGGAGCAAAGATGGAGAGAATGAGGGAGATCAAGGCAAGTGGGAGGAGGGACAAAAGAGAGGTGAATGAAGGGAGAAGAGAAGGGTAAACGGAGACTTAGAGAGTTAGAACTTGGGAAGCAATCATGAAATGGAACACTGTAAGGAGTCTGTTTTTGCTTTTGTTGTTTTTAAGTGCCTAGAAAGTTGATAGCAGGAGTCTTGTCTTTGAATTAATGGTTTAATGATAAATTAACTTGTGCATTCAGTTAAAACAAATGCCTACAATGTAAAAAGAAAGGCTTACAGTTTTGTTTATTTGCTACTTCTATAGACGCTGATTAAGATATATGTGCAGTAGCTGCTGTGTTCCTGGATAATTTTGACAACTTTATTATTTTTAAAGCAATAAAAGGGAAATGTTCCATTTATTGACTACAGTATATTCCCACTGTTTGTTCACAATCCTTAAAGGAAATCAAAAAGATTTCTGTTCTTGTTCAAGTTTGTCATGGATCACAATGAAGTATGATTGATGTTAGTTATCGCTCGTGGCCCCATTTTTCTGCTCTAAATAAACTGAAGGATAAATCCAGTTGCTAAGCCAGTCCCTCAAAGGGCTGACCTTTTGATAAGCCCATCTCTCAAATTTATGGCAGCTTGGCAATGCTTTATTGCCACAACCTAGAAATGGCTCATGTTGACATAAGATCATTTACAAGCTTCTCTCCAGAACCCTCAAGGTTCAACATCTCTATATGTGTACTAACAACGAGAGATTATCCTTGGAGCAAAATAACTTCAGCCTCTGCTTCACCTGAGATTGTATTGTTATCAAGAGACGGGTGGCAGAGACTGATTTTGTGTGTAAAACCTTGAGATTTCAGCACGACAACTTCCAAAAACTTTATTCTTTGCTATGCCTGGAATTCACAGCTCCCTTCTGCCCTGTTTTATTTTACAGTGGCCATTTCATGCCAGCCACTTTGCTTCCCTCCACTGGCTTTATTCAACTGTTGAATTCAAGGCCACAAACTGATACAGGTCAAAGCATCGTAAGTTAAATCGTAAGTGGCTGGTGGCTGGTGGAAGCAAAACTGCTGTGAGGTTTTGTAAAAGCAAAAGGTAAGTGTGATAAAGAGGAAAGGGACGGTTGAGTCACTCATGTGTCCTCTGATTCTGGTTATCTGTCTCTGGCTTCTTGTTTGCCTGAGCGATCTGGGCCGGAACCATCAGGAGCTCCCTCTCTTCCCCTCGTTCATGTGAACCATGACTTTCACTGAACTGAGAGCACACTGCTGAGATAAGGGCTCCAGTCAGACCGACTGTGGCAATGGAACCAGTGAGAAAACATGGTGGACAGAGCCATCTGGCCAGCTCCTCTCTGTCCTCGCTCTGCTGAGCACAAAGCTGGAGCCACCTGTCTTGTCTGCTACACTATCCAGCAGAAGTTGAGTACCACCAGGATGGTAAGACAAGATAATGTGTGTGTGTTCACATCTCACTGTGTGCATTTTATAGGAAAAATGCAGACAGAGGAGAAGAATTTCTCCTCAGAGAATAGCAGTCTGTTTACAAGTCTGTATTGCTTCTAAGAAATCATATAATACATTGATCCAGATATTTCTCCTCTTTTCTAAAAGCCTCCAACACTATTTTCATGCCATGTTAAAGGATATGCATCTTCTCTTTTTACTTATTGACTGAGGCTTAGGCAAGGTCATCCGCAAAAGCTTTTGTGACAATATTCTCCCAGAGAATATTGGATTTTATCTTCATCTATTAGCAAAGCATTTGGCATGAAAGAAGAAACATTTAACATTTAGTAAGATACACGACTCTCCTTTGAAGCATAACATTCTGCCAAAGCTAAAGCCTTCCAGGAGCTTTACAGGCTGTATCATGTCTCTGTAGCTATATGGCTACAAGTGAGCACACTTTTTAGAGCAGTGATTCCCAACCTGAGGTATTTTCATCCCAGGGGGTAGTTCTGCGGATGCTAGGGGGTAGATGCAAGGATCGTGGAGTAACTCAACTATTTTGAAAAACAGGAAATTATGATTACATTGTAGTGTGTGTTTAGGGAGAAAATAACCATCTAAATACACACCTTACACCAACCTAAGTTAAAACACCTTAAAGCCATTGCAAGTGCATGAAAAAAGAGGATATAATATTTGAAAGAATTAGCCAGAAGTAATGGATAATTACTTCAATTATTTACCTATAATTAACAGGTGAAATAGCTAAATGCAATTAATAAATGGTCATACAAAGAAGCTTATAGTAAGCACTGTTTTAGAGCAATTGTCAGATATATCTCATCCTTCTCTGCATCAGCTGACACTGCTACCTGTCGGCCCTCACTGCCGTTTTACAGAAAATACACATGAGAGTGTATCTAGTGCAAGACTCACCAGGGAGATCGCAGAGAGGCCGACATCCATCGAGCCTGTCAGTGGAGGGATATGAGACAGGAAGCCCCGCAGAGAAAAGACAAAACCCAGCTGGATCTTGGCCTAGTGATAAGTTACCTTGCACACAGCAGTCATTACACCACGAGAATTAAATGATAAGATTCCAATTACCTGCTAATTTAAAACACCGGTCAAATATGAGAAGTAAAGGATGATGGAGCCTGCCGCTAAGGATTTCAGGTTGTAATAGCCTTCCTCAGGTGAAAAAGTAAATTGAGAAAATCTTGCAAATATTAAATAGTGTAAATGACCTACCTCAATAAAAAAAGCTCCTTATCTATGTCATGTTAAATCTATAACGCTTTCTTGCTCCTTTTTTACTGATATCACAAATGAAAAATCTAATATAAAGAATATTTCAATTTACACACACTCCTAATTAATCAAAAAGTTTTAAAGGTTTATCAGTCTCAAAACAAGAGAATCCATTTGGCATACGCTGTCCTCAACCCAACAGTAGGGGGTCTTGTCCTCTAATTAATCTGGCTTGTCCCGCTGCTAAACACCGGATCCGTTTGCAGGACTGCTGCATTATTCAACATAGCCGTGGGTGAGAGAGGAAGTCTGTGGTCTGGAGTCACCTTACTCTGGGCAGAGCAGCAAAGCGAGAGAGATGGAGAAGGATGAGAGGGAGAAATGAAAGTGATGGAAGAGGCATTGAGGATGGGGGAGGTGAGGGGGGGAGACAGACAGAGGTTGGGGGGATGAAAAGGGGAAAGGGGAAAGAAATAAGGTGAGATATTTAAAAAAAAAAAAAAAAAAGAGGGAAGAGATCAAATGGACTATGTGGTTCAAGGCGAAGGGAACTGCTAAAATAACATAACCGTACGAGAAACCGCAGGAGGGTCAGAGACCTATAGACAGGAAGTCCATGTCCAGCTGTCAGTTCTCTGCTTCTGCTGACAAACCAATTATAAAACCACATAGAATTTTCTAGCTGCGTACGCATTTTTGACAGAACAATGATAAGTTGACAACAACACATCTCTGTTTTACCCCTTGTTCTTTTATTGTTGATTGTTTTTCTTCAGAACAAACCCCTTCCTAACCCCAAAATACATCTGTCGTCTCCGTCTCTCTCATTAAATACACACCTTGCCCCCACAAAATACAATGGTCAAAAACACAGTAGTCATGTAACGTTGGTTAATACAGAGACACACAAGTGAAATCAACGGTACTCTCAGGGCAGTCGCCGCCACACAGAGAGCAGTCGTAATAAAAAGCTTTGGAATGGTAAAAGTACAATGCACTCACACAGTCGTGGCTGCTGGAAAACACAGCAGCTGAAATAAATGATGTGGATCAAGATATTTTGAAATGAACTAAATGAAATGCAAAGCAGACAATGAATTCATACATGCTTTGACAGACCTGTTTTACTCAGAGCGCTGGAATGAACACTCAGGGAGACTCAGTTCATACTCAGTTGTTAAAAGTTCTGGCAATAAACTCACAAAATGGTCATTTACAGCACATTCAACTTTGTGGTTACGTAGTGGTTACTTACTGTACGTCTTTACTCTCGGCAAACAAAGTATATTATTCACATAGTATTCACATAACATAATATACATCTGTATGTACACATTCCTTCCACCCTTGAGAAAAAGTGTCCAGGCACTTCCTCCAGCGATCCTGCGTCAGATCACTGACTACACTGTAGCTACCTCATTACTTCATCCTCATTAAAATCAAGCTGCTCTATCAGTGAACCTGTGGGAGCTTGGTGATGTTGGTATACTGTTAGATTCCTCACTTATTCTGGCACTCCCACCTGAAACAGACTGTGAGATGCAAACTAGCAGCAGTAGAGTTCACCTAGCTGCCATTTCTTGCGTTTATGCAGGCTTCAAGGTGTCTCTCCTTGTTTATTAGGGCAGGTCCTGGAGTGATAACCTTTACCGCCCTCCTTGAAAACCTGCACTTAAAGGAGTTTAAAGAGATATGGCGGAGCATAACATATTGTAAAGGGTAATAATGGAGTCTAGAAAAAAAAACAAAAACAGAATTGTTTTCTGTTTGTGTGTTGGGGGTCTTTTTAGGGATGTTTTCAAAGCTGACTCAGATCAATTATGTGTAACACACATGCCAACCTGCCTGAGTTTCTTCCATTTAATCAGGCATTAAGAGTTCCAGTGGTCTCCAGGCATTGGCCAGCAGATGAAAAGATGAAAAACAGTAGATTTTGTTTGTCCATCAAGTCAGTGATAGGTAAACAGCAGGGTCTGTGGGCCACTGTTTCTTACTATTCCTCTAGTTTAAAATACGTTTTTTTTTTTTTTTCCTTTAAGATAATAAAAATGACCAACAATGTGAAAACACCAAAATGTCCAGTGGTGATGCAAAGTACTGTTTTTTTCCCTCTGCACAATGGTAATGCCCCTTTTTATTTATATATATTTATTTATTTTACACCACTAGGAACAACTACTAATATTCATGTCAAAATTGTCAAAATGAACCCCTACCTGAAATGGTTGTGATAAAATTGGTTTAGCTTGCTTCGACAGTTTACAGTACAACCAAGTGCCTTAGACAACAAAGGAGTAAAAGGAGATTACAGACTCAAACCTGTGACGCAGCACTGGTTTAGACACCACAGCATTAATGAAACATCACTTTTCACACCACCACTATGGCATGTGAGTACATTTCTAACAGTTTCCCCTGGTCCTTTTTCGTTCCCGCTGGGTATAAAATACAAACAATCACTTTGCAGCGAGAGCATTAGCTGATGCAGTACATACTGTATGTTTGTAGGCATATATCAAGATGAAGCAGTAAAACAAAGTAAAGAGAGGATTCAAGTCAGTCAATGGGATTGGCACCGTGACAGTAACGAGACAGGAATCTCCCTTGGTGGCACCAGGCCCAGTGCTGTGGTCCCTGGAAACATCCACCTATAGCACACATGGTAATCCAGCACAAACATTATGGCAAAATACAACAAATTGCACTACTGTACAGTTTCTGCATCAATACTGTTGAGCACTGGGCTGGTCTATCCTTTCTGTTTATACACCAGTATGATAACCCTTTAGATTTATTCAGTGATTTGAATAAACCCGTCCTATCATCAGAGAGTAAGGCAGTTTATGGTATGGTAGATAAGTCATGCCACAACCAAAGTGGACTGCTGTTTTACGTAGCTCTTAAGAGAGAAGGAAATGCTTCCACGTTTAGATAATTCTGCTGTAACTCTGGAATCTCATCGAGCCCCCTCGCTGTTTGAATGATACGATGAAACACAGCCAAGGTGACCTTTCTTCAGAATAGACAGGTCCATCATTTTGTAGCTCAGAATATTGTTTTGCTGCTACAGAAACCCTTAGCACAAAAGAGCTTTAGTCCGGAGGCAAGGAGGACCAAGAAAAGCACAAAAAATATCAAAAGAGATAAACATCACCAACAAGGAGGAAATCACAGCTGTACATTAAAGGTTAGAAGTTAGAACCATGACCATGTTGTTTTTTTCCTTTCCTTCCTTTGTAGTCCTTTTAATGCCAAGTCCACAGGTCCAAACATTAAAGTAGAGGGGTCACTGGGTGGCCTTAAAATCGAATCTCCAGCGCATAGGATACCGCCGCTGTGGTAAACATTTAGTTGCTATCTGCCATCAAAGCAGTCCAAGTATTCCAGGACAAGGTCATAGCAGAATCGATACTGGTCCTGAGGAAAAATAGAATATTCTTAAATTAAAAAGTGAAACGGTAGAATAATTATAGAAATATTCTTGGCACTTCAGAACTAGAACTAGCTTTATATATTTATTTATTTATTTACAGACTCTCTTACCAGGGACTCCACCATGTTGGGTTTGCAATTGCGTAGAGTTTTGACAGCATAGAAGATGTCCACCATGTTCTGGTACTGGATCATCTCGAGGAGAATGTTGCAGGCACAGAAGGTCCCACTGCGTCCACCACCATTACTGCAGAGGAAAATATGTGTTTTTAAAAAAAAATGTTATTTCACTTTCATTTTTATATTTTATTGCTGTATTTTAGCCTTGCTAGCAGTATTGCACTTTTTTTTTTTTTAAGTTTTCAAATGTTGCTCTTGCAGTACTCCGAAGTACCCCTGCAGTACTTGTACCGCCATTTGAGAAACACTGCTCTAGTGCCACCGTGAGGTTGACATTTTTTGTTTTTTAAAAGAATGCCCCAACAACAATTGGATGGGATGCTATTAATGTTCCCTTGAAATGTGTGGCCAACAACTTTGGCAATCCCCCAATGTCAGTATGTCAACATATAACATGTGAGCATATACAGTGGGTACGGAAAGTATTCAGACCCCTTTAAATTTTTCACTCTTTGTTTCATTGCAGCCATTTGCTAAAATCAAAAAAAGTTCATTTTATTTCTCATTAATGTACACTCAGCACCCCATCTTGACAGAAAAAACAGAAATGTAGAGATTTTTGCAAATTTATTAAAAAAGAAAAACTGAAATATCACATGGTCATAAGTATTCAGACCCTTTGCTGTGACACTCATATTTAACTCACATGCTGTCCATTTCTTCTGATCCTCCTTGAGGTGGTTCTGCTCCTTCATTGGAGTCCAACTGTGTTTAATTAAACTGATTGGACTTGATTAGGAAAGGCACACACCTGTCTATATAAGACCTTACAGCTCACAGTGCATGTCAGAGCAAATGAGAATCATGAGGTCGAAGCAACTGCCCAAGGAGCTCAGAGACAGAATTGTGGCAAGGCACAGATCTGGCCAAGGTTACAAAAGAATTTCTGCAGCACTCAAGGTTCCTAAGAGCACAGTGGCCTCCATAATCCTTAAATGGAAGAAGTTTGGGACGACCAGAACTCTTCCTAGACCTGGCCGTCCAGCCAAACTGAGCAATCGTGGGAGAAGAGCCTTGGTGAGAGAGGTAAAGAAGAACCCAAAGATCACTGTGGCTGAGCTCCAGAGATGCAGTAGGGACATGGGAGAAAGTTCCACAAAGTCAACTATCACTGCAGCCCTGCACCAGTCGGGGCTTTATGGCAGAGTGGCCCGACAGAAGCCTCTCCTCAGTGCAAGACATATGAAAGCCAGCATAGAGTTTGCCAAAAAACACATGAAGGACTCCCAGACTATGAGAAATAAGATTCTCTGGTCTGATGAGACCAAGATTGAACTTTTTGGCGTTAATTCTAAGCGGTATGTGTGGAGAAAACCAGGCACTGCTCATCACCTGCCCAATACAATCCCAACAGTGAAACATGGTGGTGGCAGCATCATGCTATGGGGGTGTTTTTCAGCTGCAGGGACAGGACGACTGGTTGCAATTGAAGGAAAGATGAATGCGGCCAAGTACAGAGATATCCTGGAAGAAAACCTCTTCCAGAGTGCTCAGGACCTCAGACTGGGCCGAAGGTTCACCTTCCAACAAAACAATGACCCTAAGCACACAGCTAAAATAACAAAGGAGTGGCTTCGGAACAACTCTGTGACCATTCTTGACTGGCCCAGCCAGAGCCCTGACCTAAACCCAATTGAGCATCTCTGGAGAGACCTGAAAATGGCTGTCCACCAACATTCACCATCCAACCTCACAGAACTGGAGAGGATCTGCAAGGAAGAATGGCAGAGGATCCCCAAATCCAGGTGTGAAAAACTTGTTGCATCATTCCCAAGAAGACTCATGGCTGTAGTAGCTCAAAAGGGTGCTTCTACTCAATACTGAGCAAAGGGTCTGAATACTTATGACCATGTGATATTTGTTTTTCTTTTTTAATAAATTTGCAAAAATTTCTACATTTCTGTTTTTTTCTGTCAAGATGGGGTGCTGAGTGTACATTAATGAGAAATAAAATGAACTTTTTTGATTTTAGCAAATGGCTGCAAAGAAACAAAGAGTGAAAAATTTAAAGGGGTCTGAATACTTTCCGTACCCACTGTAAGTGTGCTGATGTCAGAATTTAGCTTAACTGTGTACTTTCGACTTGTTTATTACATTTTAATTGTAATTTGAGCAGTTTAAAATAGCTGTTATGTTTGAAATGTGAAGTATTAATATGCTTGCCCTGTTTTTCCTTCAATTAGATTAGTTTAGGTTTAGACCTGGGCTGTCGGTAAGATGCAGTCCCGATCCTGTCATATCGCATGAACATCTATGTACTGCATATACAGTACATTTCAATGTATACAAATTGATCCTAGTCCTAGGAATAAGCCTCCTAATATATTTAACAGGGTTCTGGAAGTCAATAATTCAGTATAAGCAGGGCAGAATATGTGTAATCTGATGACTGTTTTTGTGTTCATGCTACCTCATGAAAAACAGGCATTTGATACAGTTCGTACAGCATGCACACAATGTCTTGATACAAAAATAGCAACATGAGAAAAGCTGTAAGGAAGAGAAAATTGAGAAATAACAGCACAGTGTGGTATTTCTTTGGAAATATTGTCCTGGTCATCATAAATGAAAGGCAATATCAATAAACTAGCGGAGGACAATCCACTTCCTCTCTCCTGAGACAAATGCAGGGAAGGTGGGCACAGAAGCCTCCGCAGCGTATACAAGCAATATTAAGGTAATCAATCGTCGTCAGTGCTTTGGCAGTCCTGGATTTACTGTAGTGAGAACCATCGCATTCTGTATTAAGCCATAATTGATTTGATCTCCATAATCTCTTTCCTGGTTGTCGTGGGTAACACTGTGTGACAGCGCTGAGTGATGTGCTTTTGGATGGGGGCGGTGGGAATGAACGTGTGATGGGTTGGCAATGAGCTGGACGGACCCATTCATATTCATCAGCGGGCGTGCGCTCCGGGGGCTTAGGACAACAGAGGAGCATACAACACCACACACACTGCACCACGGCACAGAGCATTACACCACAATTTGATTCTCAACTTTAAAAAATAATTCCATAGAAAAGTACTTTGCACTGCATCTCATTGCACCAAACCACACCAAACACCAGAAGGACAAGACATGGCAAAGTCTCTCATCAACAAACAGATGTGGTCATGATTTGCCATGTTTTTTACCGTAATAACTGAATGTCTAAGACCTTTTCAGAGAGAGACTAAATGTCTGCCTTCTCTCCTTTTCTTTTATTTCTTTTTATTCTAAGATTATTTAGATTGCATTTTTTCCCCTTTATTGGATAGGAACAGCTGAAGAGAGATAGGAAAGAGGGGTGAGAGAGAGAGGGGATGACATGCAGCAAAGGCACCAGGCTCAAATTGAACCTGGGCCGCTGCGGTAAGGATTTGGGCCTTAGTACATGGTGCGTGCGCTCTACCAGGTGAGCTACGAGATGACCCGTCTCCTTTAATTTTACAATACACAATTTATGTTGCTAACAGATTACTCACAGGCAGTGGACAACAGTGCGTCCTTCTCCACACTCCCTCTGCCACTTGTGCACTTGAGCCAGCAGGTTGAGGAAAGCCTTCTTGGAGTCAGGAACATCGCGATATGCCGACCAGCGCAGAAACTGGAACTGACACACCACCAGCTGGCCTTCTTGGAGCTTCAGATGCAACAAAAAAAATTAAACACATGGAATATGAGTGTACTGTACTGTGCTTGCACATACTCTCCTGAATCTGTGTCGTATTACTTTTTCTGGTTGTTTCAGTATTTCTGTGTGTGCCAGTTAACACCCGTGTTTGAGTGCTCCCCAGGCTGCATGCTGGCACTCTCAGCTGTGCTCACTCAGCACACTGACTTTGAGATATATGGGTTTGCAGGTGTAAGTGGGGCCTGAGCTGTGTGTGAGAGAGGTCCCTGTGTGTTCATAACCTTGTGCTGTAGAATCTCACCTAATACTTAAGGACCAGTGGAGAACTGTAAGTCATGCAAATTGGGCTGGCAAAGACATCAACGATGCATGGAGGAATTGCCTCAGCAGAGGTGGGATTTACACAATGTACTTTTTTTGTGCTACTTTCATACCCACACATACATATGCTTGCAATGCACTTCTTTTGACTTTTACTCCCTACCCTTGTATATCATTGTCACACACAGGAAACATGCACACTAATGCACTAAGAGGGGCAGAGAGAGGGAGAGGTGTGTGTTATTTCTGTGTGATTTGATTTCTCTCATGCTGGGTTAAGTTTCTCTCCTTGACTGTGGAGTACAAAAAAAGGGTACCATAGGTAGAGAGGGGAATGACAATGGCAGTCTACAGGGGAGGTGAGGATGCAAATCAAGAAAGGAAGTTCTGGGCACTGCATGTCATGTTGCTTCTAATGGCAGTGAGGAAACGCCTTGCATGCAGATTTCTTCAATAATTGGTTGACAGCCATCCTGAGCAGAATGCATGCATGTGTTTATGCAAATTCCCAGGCTTAAACCATACCTGCATACACACAATGAAGTGTGTGAAGTCAAAATGACTGATTCATACATATGCACACAACTGGGGAAAAAAAGTTAAGGGAAGACCACACTTACATCCCTGTGCTCCCTCTACCATGACAGAACTGTCAGTGCCTCTTTTTAGCACAAGGTATTCCTAATCCTCCACATGCCAGATATTTTCTTAATGTTTGACAAGGTTTATGGACAAATCATAGGAGAGCATGCTTTTGCAGCTTGCAACTGAAAATATGGCATGCATTATGATGATGAAAGTCTTTACTATGCCAACAGGCACCTAAGAGTGGAGAGAAGCCTATCTAGGTAATGACAAGAAGAAATTGAAAAAGGGAGAGACTGACCTTTATTGCATGCATGTCAATGGGCTTTTCTTGCATGTTTCCCATAGAAAGTTCTTATAATATGTATGACTCTCAAGGGGACATCTTATGGAAACACTGGTGGCTCTGGTTCAATTTTCTGGACTGCTGTATATCAAAACAATGTCCTGTAGTATGTATGAATACATTTTCTACTGATCTGCCATTGTGCTCTGAACAAATCTCTAGGCTATAGTGTATCTATTTTAGACTGTATTTATTTGACAATGTCCTCTGACCCATGAGGCATTCACTAAAGTAGTGTCGTATGCATAAGAAAGCGATATAGACAGATAACGATGCAGAGGCACACATTGTATAGAAATCCAGCATCAAGTGAAGCATTCAACCTTTGTGTTGGCACACATACAAGAAGTTGTGTAGAAATTCAAATCATCGTCTGAAGGTTTCAGGTACACAGTATTTTTTATGAGTTTCGACTCTATAATACTTTGACTTTAAGAATTTGTGTCTGGGTTTTAGATGCATATTACAGCTGGCAGCTCTAAATGTACTGTAGGTAAAATGTCACATCTGAATTACCAGTGAGGACCACAGCTAATGCATTTCTAATGAAGTTCAAGTTATCATTTGTGAAATACCACTGAGTGGAACAACATGTCCTGTGCAGGCTTTTTTTGGAACTGCAATGACTCACCCTCGTTACGTTCTTGACCCGAAACAGACGAGTAATGACATCCTCGTCTGCTGACATGGACAAAAACTCCACTTCCATGGGGCCGTACTGCTGTAAACCAGGCTCTGGCCAGTACTGTACACACGGCTACAGGTAGAGGGGAGATCAGAGAAAAAGAGTGGGAGTCAGTGTTTTATCAGTTTCTAAAGTGGCACATATAGTTCTATAATTGTATTCTTCAGTAGTTGTTGCTCTTGCTTTCGGTTATCAAAGAAAAGACAACTTTAGGAAGTTCAAATGGTGAAATTAAACAAATGTGTGTGTAAGGGTGTGTGTATTTTTGCAGTGGGGTGTCTGCATGTACACAGTTAATAAAATAATAGGATACAGTTGGAGAAACATGCAGACGCACAAGTATAATCCTGTAACTGATGACAAAAGTAGTGTTAGTGTGTTCTTACATAGAACAAGAGGTGTTATGGTGCCACACTGGTGTTAATAGGGGGAGAGGGGTAGCATGGGGAGGGAGAGATGTAATGTGCTTTGAGAGATTGCAACAAGAGGGAGACAGAGTGCTCCAGTGCCAGAAATGAACTCTATAACAGAGTTCATAATGAGATCTTGCAATGAACAACTTAAAGGGGCGATAACTCAATTTTCAGGCGAGACCCAAAAGGAAAGGCATGGCACTGGAAGAAATGGGATGAAAAACATTTAAAGGGGAATGGATGAAAAGTGGGATTGAACAGGGGTACCTACACTTTCATTTCTGTTTTTTTTATTCTTTATTTTTTATTACCAGACTACACAGGGTGTTACATAACGGCATGCAGAAAAGCCAACTCTGAAAGCCCAAATCTCTGCATTTAATGAGCACATCATACACAATGATTCAGGATTATTATTCATTGACATTGTTCCACAGTTACAAAGCCTGTCAAGGCCCTTAAATGTCATGTCAATGGTTTACTGATATTTTGACAAACAAATATCTTTTGCTAGGATAGTCAATGAATGAAAAAACAATCAGCAATGAGCATTGACACAAGTGGTGCATTAAGCCAGACAGAATATTATCTGTTTTTAGGAAAAAAATAAGTTAATCAGTAGGTATCTCTGGAACAGCCCTCCATGGTTTGTTCCATTTGTCATAACATTTTTCTCTTCAGCTGGTGATTTGAATCAACTAAACAGTTAACACGATGTATATTGCATCAAGTCATTGTTCAGTTTGTGTTAAACACACTGACTTCAAGAATTTGAAGGTGTAGACATCTTAGTAGACTATAAAATGGACCCTTTAGAGACAGTAGTGCTACTGCTACTAGACTCAAATCATACATGTGCTGTAGAGGGGTGTTTTTCAAGAAACACTAGAAAATGTTAAGGGCTGATTTTACAACAATCTAAAAGAAGACCTTGGACAAAAAAAGATTCATAATTTATAGAAAGCATCTGCTTTCCAAGGCTGTGATTCAATGTAATACATATTTCACATGGTTAATATTTAAAGTTTGACTCTGCAAAGCCTGTTAATCTTGCATTTATGCCTAAAAACAAAAATTTAGATTCTGTACAAGACATTATTTCCAACATCTTGACTTGTTGATTCACTACATATATTTATTGTATAGGTGTAAATACAAGGTAATATGAGAGTACTTCAAATTGCCCTTGTAAAAGTTGTTAACAATATGTTGATGAAGGCTGATGTTAACTAATGCTCTGTGCTGGAAAGTCTGAGCTCAGTGGAGCATAACAGCATACACAGTGGATTTAAATATTCATATGCAGAGGTTAAGGCATCTTCAGGACTGTCTTTGATTGTTTTGGGGTTTTTTGTCTACTGCAAATGATCTTGTGTCTGTCAGTGGTCTTTCCTCCTCGCAGGCACAGTCTCTGTGTGGTGTGCCACAAGGATCCGTTTTGGGACCAATCTTATTTTCTATTTTCCATATTGTCCTCAGGCTACATTATTAGATAGCATAACATTTATCATTTCTTTCCATTATTATGCTGGTGATATCAAGTCATACCTGTCACAACATTGTTGTTATTCAGCACCATTGTCAACTCTGCACATCTGTTTATCTGTCCCTGGATGTCTGTCAAACTCTTTCAGCTTAACTCCAACAAAATGGACATCTTAATTATTGGCTAAACACGTCAGTAGTCAAGTTGTGCCAGTTTGTGGCTCTTTAACAGAAAACATTATTCCTTCTGCTCAAAACCTGGTAGTTAATTTTGATCAGAGCCTTTGTGTGGAGCCCCATATTACAACTGTAGGAAATTTAAGTTTCTCTTCACCTGAGAAATATCTTGAGTATTAATCATTCCTTTCTTTTAATGACACTTGGTCTATTTTACATGCTTTAATTCCATTCACACTTGATTATTGTAATGATTCATTCATTCATTCCTCTTAATCATATAAATTTTAGGATAGGATTTTAGGATAGCTCAATTTGTTCAACAGTTAGCTGTCAGACTCCTACCAAAAACCCTGGGATATGATTATATTTCCATGCCTATACTCAGAATAGACTTTAGGATCTATTGCTGCCTTTTAAAGCCTTCTTCAGTATGGCACCTGATTATCTGGTAGAGCCCTTAAGACTTTATTTACCAGCATTGCCGTTAGAGCCTCAACCACATAGAATAGCTTACCATAAGGGCTCAGGGTAGCAAAGGCTTAAACTACTTAATGTATGACATTCTTTTAGTTATTGGTTCTTAGTGTTTCATTGTGTTTTTTACTGAATCTTGAACTTGAATCTTGTGTTTGCGCTCATTATTATAGCTATTATTACAAGTATTAAAGAAAGAACAGAGAAGATTGCAGTACAGAGAAAGACATATGCTCATGAGAAAAAGTGGGACGCCAACAAAAAGAACCCTGAGATGTGGCTGGAGGGTAAGGCAAGCCTATTCTCCCGAGATGTAACTTGAGGAGGGGAAGGAAAAACTGGGGCGGGTGTTATCTAGTCATGCCTTGAGATCAATGTGGTCAGGGATCAAAGCCCAGCAAAATGGCATGAAGGAACTAATCCCAAGCACTCTAAGATACAGAAACAGTGATGGCAGGGTATGTCAGGAAAAGTCTTGAGTAAAGTTCAGATAACCTCGAGACTGAAGTAAAAACTAGTACAGCAAACAGTGGCTCTTGTGTGAGTGAACATTTTTCTGCGTCTTTTTCCTTATAGCATCAACAAATCAATGGCAATAAAACAGTATATAACCTTTTGACCTTACCCAGGCAGAGTTTGACTGGTTGAGTTGGTTGAGCATGACCACTGCTGTGCAGCCGTAGTCAAAGACCAGCCTCCAAAAGTCTGCTGTGGTCCCTGGCAGAGGGTGAGGGGTCACGATAAAAGCAGCCTGCCGGTGGAAACTGTCAGCGAGAGCAGCGTTGATGTAGTTGTTGCTCTCCCCTTCTGTCGTAACAAGGAAGGCCAGGGCACGATCAGGCGGCAAAACATCCATGCTGCGGTTCTTCTCTCGGTTTCTGGGCAACAAAGCAATGCTGCACTCTTCCACATCCAGATGGGGAGTCACAGAGTTGAGCGTCTGGAAATGGAAATGTTAAAGAGGTGAGGTGAGAGTGAGGGTAGGATGAAAAGAAATTTAAGAGAGCGTTTTTAAAGATGGAAGACATGAGGAGTGGTGAGACACAGAGTCAAAGAGGAGGAGGAGGTGAAATCAGAACAGAAGGAGGGATGCAGAGGATGCTCTGAATATAATGATGTTATTTGAAAGAATCTATAATAGTCTGAACATCACAGTGACAAACTGAATTAAAAAGAAAAAAGGGTAAATTAGGCCAACTACATAAAAGAAGGGAAAATAATGAAGTTTAAATAAAAATTCAAAAGGAATTGGATGAACTCTCTCTTAGCCATAATTACATTAGACAACATAAAAAAAATATTTGGATCATTAATATGGAGCATCAATAATAGATCTGTGACTTGCTGATCTCAGTACTACCGGTTGGCGGATGACAGAATAAAAGGCAAACAGAGAGCTTATTGGGCGGTGGAGAAGCTTTCAACAACAATGTCAGACGGATAAGTTTACAAGATCAAAGCGAGGCATGTTACATTTTCCTTTATGAAGAACTAACAGTTTGTAATCAGAGTGTCGCACCACCTACAGCACAATTCTAAGCAATACATCTATCATAATTCTTATGTAAAGTATAAGAATAAAATAGTATATAATTAAAAGGGGAAGCATGAGCCTTTTCTAGTGTTACTTTGAAATGCTAAACCTGGAATCAATGCGGCTGCTGGTTGAACACTGCAGCAGAGGGAGGTGGATGAAGCAGGTAAAGCATGTGGGAGCACAGCTGGCTCTCCTCTCTCCTAATGAACATCTAATAAAATGTTCTGAGGCCACATTCCTACAAACCAAGCAGAGGACTTAAGTGGCAGCCACACAGAATCAAAAGCGAAAAAAAAAAAAAAAACCCTACATCATCCTGCACAAATACACACACATTTTTAGATGAATACGTGACACATGCACACATTCACACACATACAAGTCCATTAGTCTATTCCTTTCTGCACTCTGTTGACATCTGTGCTATGAAGTACATCATTTCCACAACAGAGGAGATGTAGTCATCGTCTATTGTTTAAATAACTGTCTGAATACCAAACAGACTTTTTTAACTTAACTGAGCAAAGCAGTACATAACAGAGTAGTACACTACAGACCATGTGCAATACAAATATGCAAATATATTCAAAATGTATACATGACTGTATCCCCTACCAACATTCATTAAATATTACTACTGTATTATTTTCATTGTTAGTGGTTGTAGTAGAAGTAAAAGTAGTAGCAGAAGTAGTAGTAGTTAGAGTAGTAGTGTAGTAATACTGTAGTAGCATCAGTAGTAGTATTACAGTACATGTTGTAGTAGGAGTGGTAGTATTGGTATATTATTGTTGTTATTAAAACTGTGGTAGTAGAAGTGGTAGTAGGTTCCATTAAGGTGAAAGATTTTCTGTTGATATTTAATAAATTGCATTATAAATGCAAATTACAGTGTGTGGGCTGTGTAATTCAGAATATATGTTTGCATGTTCCAGATTTTAATGGCTGCATATTTTAACAAAATTAAACTGTGGTTAGAAATTGATGGAGGTCATGATCCAGCAAAACACTGACCTGAAACTCCTCCCGCAGCTGAGAGGAATTACTCTGGGAATCCACTCGCAGCATCTCTTTGTAAGTGACCGCAAACTCGTTCACCAAGATGGCCGTCTCTCCACACAGACAGGCCTCGAGAATGGCGTCATGGATGAAGATATACTGCTCCTGAAAGGACAACACGTACATAACATAATTAAGTGCTGTGTCTGTGCACTTGAATTTGTGCACTGTGTGTGGGCGTGAATGTGTACTCTAGTGGGTTTCAGATGCATATGTGTGTGTGTGTTAAATGGATGCAAACAGCTAAACAGACATTACAAAAGGAGGCAAGTTCAGACAGAAGCACGTTAAGAACATGTGTAAATGTAAATAAATAATGAAACAATATGAAGAATGGCGTGAGATTTTTCACAACCTGTCTTGTTCTGAATTAAACATGTGCTGTAATGTTGGTGGTGTATCAAAGCTGTTGGAGAATAAATACATATTTCTAAGTAAACAAACCCATGCGGTGTGCATTTAATTAGAACACCCCTGCAAATAACTACAAATGTAATAAACAGCCAAGTCAATGTCAGATTTACATAATAAGGGGTGAATATGCAAATTATCTTCACATCTAAAGAACAGCACGTGCCTATGCAGCACACTGAGAGACAATGTTGGTCTTTTCTCTAAACTATTGCAATGACCTTTACATAAGTCCCAGAGGGGGAGTATTATAATACACCTCCCTCGCTCTTTGAATTTCCAAACAACAGGAGGGAAAAATAAATGTTTAAAAACCTGACTCTCCTGAAGTTTCCAGTGGTGAGAGGTTACCACATTGTGACCAGTGATGTAACCTCCTGAATATGTGCAAGACAAATATTGAGATATTTGACTCAGTTTGAATGTAAAGTGGTTTCGAGGCTGTGACCTGACCTCTGTCTGGATCATGTTGATGCGTCGAGAGCAGAGGGTTTTGACACAGTTGTAGATATCCACTACGCCTTCACACTCGGCCATGTCCAACATGACATCCAGCACAATGTAGCAGCCGGTGCGGCCCGCCCCCACACTGCCACACAAAAGGACATATTTTATGAGGAATCATGCACGTGTCTTAGAGTATTAAATCATCAGACATTTTTTAGGATACAGTATGCCCGCTCAGGAGCACAAGTTAGTAGTACTATATGATCTTAAAGAGAATGGGAGGGTATTGAAGGACAACGGCAAGGGTCATGTGACCGATTGACTTTGCTGAGCTACCACCAAGGTTTTTACAGTTACCTAAAACTAAACTAAAAACTAAAACTAGGTGTGAAAAACATTTTAGTTAAGAGGTCCAGTGTGTAGAAGTTAGTGGCATCTAGCGGTGTAGTTGCAGATTGCAACTCCCTCATTTCACCCTCCCCTTCCACTGACAAAGGACAAACTATGGTGGCCACAGAACATGCAAAAAGCCTTTTCTAGAACCAGTGTTTGGTTTGTCCTTTCTGGGCTACTGTAGAAATATGGCAGTTCAATTTGGTGGACTCTATCAAAGGTGTATGTAGATATAGAAGGCTCTAATTTTCTATTGCCAATATATCCTCCTAAATGTTACACACTGGAACTTTAACTGAAATAAAGAATAAAAAATGCAAGCTAGTTCAGACAGTCAACTTGAGCTGCACTGCTATACAACACATGACATGTCTCACACTCCATTATCACTAACCAAGCACTCCCTTCCAATCTGGCGGTCTATTTGAGCTGCAACATTTCCCAGCTCTCCTTCTGCTCTGTCAATGCTGCTGCTGCCCTGCATCAGTATTGCTGCTGCTGCTCTGTGAGCTATTGCTACCTGCTGCTCCATAAGCCCCACCACCATCCCAGCATCCACCTGTAGGCTCCAGCTTGAGGGTTTAAGGTATTTGCTCATCACTCCCCAATATCTCTATGTAAACATATCTGCGGGGAGTGATGAGGTTGGAGCCTAGATGCCAAAATCAATCTATGCTATACTGCTGTAATAAACATTTCAAACGCGAGTTGTCTGATTGAACTAGCAAGAGAAATTTGAGAAAATCCTGTGATATTAAAACTAACACAATAAATTGAAGGGATCATAATATGTGGTTTTCAATATCTGATAAATATAAGTTAGGTTTGTATGAATAGTTTTTATTTAGCATTACCTCTTACTAATCAGGATGACATATGGATCACATAAATTAGGTATTTGCATGTAAAACAGCAGTAAAAGAATGGAGATGGTGTTTTATAAAACCTTACCTCTTCCAAGTAGTTTTTGTACTATTGGTTTGATTTTATAATACTACAGGTAACAGCAGTTGCTCAGCCTCACATTACCTGCAGTGGACCACCACAGGGCCAGCGTCAGGAGGTGTAGAGGCTTTCACTCTTCTTATAAAGGCCAACAGTCCAGTGGCGTGATAGGGCACCCCATGCTCAGGCCAGGATGTGAAGTGGAACTGACGCACCTCGTGCTTGGTTGAGTATCCTCTCTGTCAACAGAAACACAGCACACATTAGCATTACATGTAAAATATTGCATTTATCTAGCTTGCATCCCTAACTATAGTAGACTACAGTCCCTTTTTTCATCCAAGATGTGCTCCCATCCATTCAGAGACATTGCCCCTCCGTGATAGCTGTGACAGATTTTTTGGTTCAGTGTGAGGACAACCAGGACATTATTTACGTGGGGTGTTAGGTCTTCTAGGACAGTTAGGCCTCTGGGCATCATATGCTAGCAGCTGCGGTGTGACAGACACGTGGAAAGGAATTACTGAAGCTCTCGGAGCTCAGGGAGGGCTAGGAGGTTTCTTCTCTCAACTGGGAGGCTGCTGCAGTCACACAGCAATTTCTTCCTCTGTACAGAGATGACAAAGTGAAGCGACGCAAAGCAAAGATTTGTTGAAGACAGAAATCCAAAAAAAGAGCTATGAAAAACAAGCTGTCACCAGTTCCTAAATTTGTGCCGATTTGAATAAGCAGCAGCGTGTGCCCATGGAGAGCGAATGTGACAGTGTGATGATAATGCTGTGTTTGTGCCACTGTCACCGCAGCGTTTCTCTGAGCCCTTCCAATGAGGGATCCCCTAGGAGACTGACAGGATGGAGGCCATCAGGGGCACAGCAGTGTAACAGCTATGTTGGAAAGACGGCAGGGGCATTCACATAGCTACTGGTGTTAATTCCTCTCAATTTAACATGTGACCCATCAGCTGTAAATCCTGTCAAGTATCTAATCCCCTCTATTAATGTTCTGCTTCTAATTTCAATAATACTACAACATGTATTAACAAATGCAAAAGAGTGTAGGCAAAATGTACATCTTAGATAAACCTACCCTCTCCAAGGCAAAGGTGCGAACTGTATATTCAGCCAGTGTCTCTGTCTTGAGCAGAGTAATTTTGATGTCACCGTACATATCGCTGTCATCAGGCCAGTATTTACAGCATTTCACCTGTTTAAAAAAAGTGAAGAGGGTTAAAACCTCATGTTGATATTCCTGGAAAATGCACCTGAAAAACAGCAGACGGTGTAACATGAATTAATCTGTTTGACTAATCATTTTTTCCGTCCAGTACAAAGCAGAAAATGTACTGTTTCAACCAAATGTTTCACAACACAAGACACTCACTTCTCCTAATATTAAGATACATTAATGCGGATGAAACATTCATCCTTTAACAAAATGTCCACAGACTCCACAGAAATGACTTTACGTTTACTTCCTTATTCTAAACAGTGCCCAATCTAGACATCCAGAACACCTCCCTCATGAGAAGCAATTTCTCTAAATCTCCCCTTCTCTTTGAAAAGGATACCTTATGTGCAGAGAGAAACAGATTTCAGGTTTGAGTTAAGGTTTATTGGATGAATTTAAGTATCACCCTTACACCCTTCTTTGAGCCAATTTTGGAATTCCTTGAAAGTCCTTTCCATCATATTTGAAATGTTTGCGTTAAATTCAGAGTGAATGCATAATAAGATATTGTAATAACAAAATATCTCACATAATATAATAAATAATTTTAACAGCAAAAGAAAACATTACCTGTGCCATTATAATTCACAACTGAGTGATTGAGTGACTTAATTTGCTTTTTTAACTAAAAAAGAGAAATACTGGTGTGAAATGTAATAAGTTAACAAACAGAAGATACACTTCAAATGCTGTGAAGGAACAAAAACAACCTCTTCCTCCATAGATATTTTATCTCAGAAGGCAAAGAAAGAAAAAACACCATAATCACATAATAGTGGAAGCATAATGAACAGGAGGGCAACAATCTTTTTCACCAACACCAGGCACAAAGGAGGTAATTTTTTCATTTAATGGAGGTGTTATTTGGATTCAGCCACACAGACCAGTCCTCATTTGTTGACTGTTCCCAGAATTGTTAGGATGGAGAACCAAATTGGATGTAGGGCTACTTCTAGAAAAATGGTGTCATTTTAACCATACACTGAGGTAATACATTTCTTTGGCCTCGACTGAAAAGGATGGGGTGCTTAGAGCAAAATTCATATACTATTTATGTGAGGTGGAAAATAACAGTACTACAGTATAGCCATTAAACCTGTGAAGTCATGCAGTGTATGTACAAGGACCGAAACCATAGATATGTGGCTCAGGAGACATTTTTTTATGCATCACAAGTATTTTATAGCACATTTTATGGACTCTGTCATTACAGTCATGATGTAAATTTCTATAAAACACAGACGCAATTTCATGATGTTTTCAAAACAGACAAATAAGGGATGATCCATGTAACAATCCTTTAAAATGTATGTGTTGATTAGTGCAGAGACTTTGTGTTGACTTGCATAAAGTGAGGTTTAGATGCCTTCTGATATTCCATTGCCACCAAGACAGCATTGTACAGAAGGTTAAAGGAATAATTTCACATTTTGGGAAATATGCTTATTCACTTTCTTGCTGAGACTTCGATGAGAACGTCTCATGTCTGTACAATACATATGAAGCTACAACCTGCAGCTGGTTGGTTTTGTTAGCATGAAGAGTGGAAACAAAGGGAGACAGCCTGACTCTCACTTAAAGGTATGTACCAGCACCTCTAAAGCTCAATAATTGTCTTCTATCTCATGTGTTTAATCTGTTCAAAAGGGGGGGTGGTAGGTGGATTATATAACTGTTTTTGCACAGAGCTAGCTGTTTTCAGTCTTAGTAAATGTGAGAATTGTCTGCTTCTTCTCAACTTTCCGCAGTGACTAAGCTTATGTCTCAAAATGTTAAACTATACCTTTAACAGGTAGGCTCTCTACTGCAACAACAACTTATGATTTGTGGTTTCACATAAATGCAGGACAGCTTCACCAAAATGAACAGCTTTTAGGCTAAGATTTACATGCACAGCAAGGTCCTGTGTGATATATACTTATCAAACACATAAAAGCCTTTCACATAGACCAAAATGGTGCCTTATTGTTGAATGTGGGATGTTTCTGAGCACTGGCTGGCGACGGGTGTGTGTGTGTGTGTGTGTGTGTGTGTGTGTGTGTGTATTGTGGGGGGAGTGCACATCACTTACCCTGCCAACCTCCACCAGCTTAGTGATCATGACGATGCTGAAACAATTTTCCTGCCACACCATCCTCCAAAAATCATACAGAGTCTCCTGCTTGGGTCCTAGTGGGAAGTGTGAAGAAATGACAGACAAAAAAGAAAAGAAAAAAAGGCAACATCAAAGCCCGTCCTCTCAATAAGGGGGTTGTTGCTGTTGTGAAATGTGGTATTATTGCGACCCAAGTGTCCTTCCTCAGACGGGAGGGTACTGATCTCTCAAGATTGTGCCGTCAATAAAGTTATTGGGAATTCCAGGCAGAAGGGAAGGGGTGACGGCTGACAAAACAACAGCAGTAGCTGATGATGAAAGCCCAAACAACCATCAGTCAGTCATTGTCATCTGAGGAAGAGACGTTCATGAGGCGAGATACAACTTTAAAACGAGGATCACGTAGGAAAGAAATGCTCAGAGAGACAAAAACACTGCTGACGCCTTTTTTTTTTCCTGTCTTGCGAGTTTCATCTCTCTCTGTCTCTCTAACAGAGGGGAAGAGGAGGTGCTGGTGCAAGATAAGCAGATGAGCAGACCTTGAGTGACTTTGTGATGGGAGCTCCCTAGAAAGCCGACGCCCCTTGGGATTAGAAAGCAGTGGAGGGAAATTTCAAACCCTCACACACATGCAAACTGTCCATCAGAAGCAACTTTTGTATTTGAGCGACAGGGTGAACTGAAGGTTCTCTCTCCAACAATGAACACACCACTGCACATGTCACAGAGTCTGAGAAGCTTTATTAGTGTGCTTAATTATTCACCTAATGTAATGAATCAATGACATCACAGTCTTCAGGGGTTGGTAGTCACACAATCACCTTTGGATTTACCAGAGAGGTGGTTTTGGCAAGGGACTGTGCATGAGTGGGCTCATTGGCCTGATCATCTTCAATTTATTACACGGCGACAAAAGGTACTCACCGTCCTGCATGCACACACACAAACACTATAGCCTTGCTGGGATACTCACCCTGAGTGGCGATGAAGTGGTTGGATCGATGGTAGCCCTGAAAGAGAGAAGAGGGATGACATGCTGAGTAAGCCATCTGCGCCTCAGGCACAGCTGTATGGGAGGGAGGTCTCTCTGTCTCACCCCTTCCCTCCTTCCCTTCATCTCTGCATTCTGCTCTCCTACTGACCCACTCTCTGCAACTATGAATTGCATTTCCTGTGTAATTTTCCAGCGTTGTCTGACCTATTGCTGACTCCAGACTACCTCTTTGCCCTCCACAGAGTTTGGAGCCGTTGAGGCAACATATGGTAAATTCTGCCTCTTGACAGACTGCTGATAAATCTGAAAAAGTGATTCCTAAAGTGAGTTGGACTAGCTGACTAAACACAGACTGAATCCCCGGGACAGTCTGAGTCCTGTCCCTTAAAAACAAATCAGTTTTCATTGAAGATTCAATATATATTCAACTATATATGGGATGATGAATTCACAAACCAAAACCACATTTCTTTCCTCAAAAACATCCCCCTTGAATTCTTCCACTCAAGTCAAATGAGTAGAAGAATATTCACATGAAAACATGATATCATCATCAACATGAACAGCTTCCGAGGCATGTACAGTGAAATATTCTGAGATCCTTTATATCAAAGGAGGTGACAGCCTTTGATATAGATGACAGACATTTTTACATGGCGAGTATGAGGTGAATATGAATGAACAATAAGATGTCACCTCTACAGCATTGGGGGGAATAAACACGACAGAGACCACCTGAGGGACTTTTAAGCATGAAAGGACGAGCAAACTGTTCAAAGGAAGACCTCCTGGAAATAAGTGCTCATCTATGCTTTCAAGGTAAAGGAGACACCTGTTTTCTAAGACACAGCCCTATAAAATCATCTCCTAGAAAAGCCACATGGATGTTGTGGCTCACGGTTTATTATCATTTTGAGAGGAGCAGCTGGACGGATAATTGACGCCCCAATTACCTTACATGACTCTGTGGAGTGGAGAAGGCAGGTCAGGAATAATCTGAATAAATGCCCGAGCCCACCGGCTCTCATCAAATCAGAATGATGGGGCAATCCATGTTGATAACAGTTTTTATCTTTTTGCAGAGGGCATCTTCCATATATGTCGAGTCTGCCCACGTTGCTAAACTGAATTGCATCCAGTCAGATAAACGGGGGACATGTTTGAAATGGAGATGGATGACCAGTGCTGTGCGGCCTGCTATCCACAATTCCTCTGGCCCTCGCCAAACACTATCAGCATGACTGTTACTACTCCTCTCTTGAAGACGGTCACCTTAGCAACTAAACTCTCTGAGTTTTGACCACTTATGAGAACTAACAAAGACAGCCTGGTCCTCCTTGTGTTCATTTAAAATCATTAGCTAAAAGGGCATGTTTTTTTATTTGTATTTTCTTTTTGTCAAATGTGCACTAACCTCAAACACACTGACCTTTGAGCATTTGTGGATAGAGGATAGTGGAAAGAGAAGAGGTAGGTGGAGAGAGAAGAGGGGGAAAGAGCAGAAATAGAGCAATGGCAGGCAGAGGAACGAGCAGTGAAGTACTTACTTCCCTGTTAATCCGAATCTACAGGGTCCAAGGTCGAGGAAGTGGGGAGGGGAGTAGAAAAAGAAGACATATAGGCTAGTTAATGAAAGAAGCTTTTGGTAAGTAGGAGTTATGGTTACAGACAGGTGGGAAGAGGTGTGTGCGTGTGTGTGTAGCTGTATGTGTGCGCGCATGTGCATTTATGTAAGTACAGCCGGACTGGGCTTTAGTGTTACAGCATTAATTTCTTGTGGGAATGTATGTCCTAAGGCCATCGTTTTTTCATTTACTCTAATGTATCGGTTTAAGTTTTTAAAATGAAAATTACTTTTGGTTTCTTTTAACTATTAAATTTGCATTAGGGATTTTCTATTAAAGGAAAGTAGACAAAAGAGAAATCCTGCTGTGTCTCACACATTATGTTGCTAATTGGAAAATGGGACTGGATCACCATTTTTAAAATATGGCTACAGTCTTTGTATGTCACCTCTCATCCCCTGCATGAGACTGTGGGGTCCCTGAGCAGCTCCTTCAGCAATGTACTGCTGCACCCTCAGTGCAAGAAGGAGCGCTACCGCAGGTCCTTCATTCCAACAGCTGTGAGATTTTTTAACTCAGCAACAACATAATGTAGCACTGTTTGTCACAGTCACTTTCATTTAATACCTGCACTATGCAGTTTTACATACATCATGCATATTATTAATATTAGACCCGTACTATATATTCATTGCCTTGTCTATAGCCTATACTTTCTAAACTATACTGCTGTATATATTTTTGTTCTGTGCAATAATTTATTTTTACACCATGCCACTACCTCCTGCTGTGACCTGTGCAATGTTCCATATCAATTACATCTGTATATAAAAAGCTGTATATAGTGAACATTTTTTTTTCATTATATCTATTTTTCTGTTCTATTTTTTATTTAATGTGTATTTTTTTATCCATTGTGTTGTGTTGTATCTGGAACTGCTGTATCGAGTGAATTTCCCCAGTGTGGGATCAATAAAGTCTCTTTTATCTTATTTCAATGCATGTTGCATTGCAACAGCATAGGAAGGCCACATTTTATGATCAATGCTTGTTTATGAACTGGGTAACAAATTAGTCATCTTCTTTTAAAGTAACAATATAATCTAAGTAGTCACTCTTTAAAGCACCTGAAAACTAGTTTTTTAAACTGGAAAGACACCGATTTACCATTGTACTCATGTAAAGAGTTCTTGGTGAGCTCACTTCTTTCTAACCCCACACCCCAAGATTTTTTAATCTTCAAACTTGTAGTCTTCAGCTCCAACCACTGCTGACTCAAGTGACATTACTTGGAGGACTGTAACAGAATTCACAGAGCTCTTTCGGGAGCCACAAAAGGCTTTATACTTCCCAAGACTTGTGAACAGACTTTAATGTATAAAATCGGTAGAGTTCCCCTTTTTCAAAATAATTTTAAATATTTATGACCAGTGTTGGGGTCATTATTCAAAAAAGTAATACACTACTTTAGATAATTCCTCCCAGCAGAAAGTAATTTATTACAGTACTCGTTACTTCACAATATCACCTGACATAACGTAATAGGAACTGCATTTAACGAGCCGAACTCACTTGTCGTTCCCTCAACAGCTTATTTGCGGTGTTAATCACAAAAGCAGTGGTTACACCATATGAGGAGGAGTCTCTTTTGTTTCTTATGTAGCATGTAACAAAATTGTTTAATTAATATCAGTAATGCGTTACATTAGAGCGTAACAGACAAATGTACAGTGATTACAGTAAAGTGTTCATTTGTAATGTGTTACAGTTCATGTTTAAGTTAAAGGTAAATTTATTATCTGTTTATATAGATATATGTGTGGGTGTGTGTATGTGTGTGTGTGGGTGTGTGTGTGTGTGGATGTTTGTGATTTGTGTGGCCATTCTACACCTGCCAGCAAGACCTTGTTACTCTTTAGAAGCAGACGAAATGTAAATTAGCAACAGCCGTGACGCACTGGACTGCTCTACATTTCCAACAGGTGCAGGAAGCTGTCAAACATATGCAAAGTTCTGCACCTCGTCAGGCAACACACACCGCAGCCGAGCAAAGACTCCGGCATTAAGTGACAGAGAAAGAGGAAACGGAGAGATTGCACTTTCTCACCTCTGTTTTGAAAGCGCAATAATGTTTCAGAGGGTGGAAAAACTTTACTATTTAACCTCTGGTGAAATAATCATAGGCTGTCCAAAATATGCTTCTCTGTGACTAAGTAGTTACTATTCAGCTTGCTGGGTCTGGCTTGTCAGGGAGTAACATCACTGACTCTGACACTGTAGTGGCTGTTGAGTGGTGTTTTCTCTCTAATGCCTGCACCTCTGTGCCCTAAACGCTAATGGAGACCATCACAATAACTACAGTCCTAACAGCAGGCCAGGTTTTTAATGCCCTCTCATTGTAATGAACTCTCTAAAAGCATCTCACCACTGCCTGTTCTCTACAGAGAAATAAAAGAGAGGAAAAAAGCCCTGTAGTGTCAAACAATTTTGATGACACAATTTGGCCTAAAGGAGTAAAATGCCCAAAATGATGCCAACTTATGCAACTAGTTATTTTCTCTATTATTCAAATATATTCTTTATAAAGATTTCGACAGGAACAGGATCTTTCAACCTCTTATCAGTCTCAAACAGGAGTGGGAGTACATCAGCTTGCTTCAACTTCTCCCAGAGTGCTGTATTTACTTTACAGTAGTCGCAATGAGAGGCGTGCAAATAAATCTTGCGAGATAAAGAAGTCCTATCAGATTGTCAGACTTCCCTTGACATAACTCAAATGAGTAGCAACAACTGAGGGCTGTGACAGCAAATTCACAGGGGAGCCAAAATACAAGGTTCTTTCTACAGTATATCTGATGGTAAAACTGTATTTTATTTTATTTTTTCAAATTCTGGGTTGATTTCTTTTGTGAATAACTTCACTCCTGCCATCTACACGTGCACTTCTGCTTTCTGAATAAACACAGCCTCCTCTAGTTTTTATGAATGGGAACACGTATGAATGAGACTGTGTGAGACACATCAGCAACATATACATGTATTTCATATGATCAGTGAGAATGTTACTGTGGCGCTGCATATGTGGCAGACAGTTAAGGTGAACAGTGGAAAGGATCATCTCTTCCGGGCCCATCCAGAGATTGAATAACATCAATCATGTCTATTTAATTTAGGGGGATTTGTGGCATCTTACAGAAAGGTTCATCTCCTCTGCAAGGCATTAAATGCATTTATTCCACTCTGTTTTAATAAAAGTGATAGCAGAGTCAGTCTGGGTCAGGGATTCGGTGCCGACAACCACGGCATCTGGCAAAACACCAATAGGAAAAGTGTTTGATTGGATGGAAGCCTCCAGGTGAAAGTGGGCCAGCAGACTGGTGAGCTTACAGGAATGAGAGAGATGGACTGCGGCTTTGCAGGGTGTGAGAGATAGCGTCACTATTTGTATCCCATGTAGAAAAGAGACAGAAAAACAGGATTAGACTTACATCAATGTAGTTAGCGTTAATGTAGTCTGAGTTGGGGTCTCCCAGGAGAGGGTGGAGCTTGACTCTGTGGCGGTCATCTGAGACAGATGAAAAAAAAAAGAGCAAAGGAACGTTAAAGTACAACAGTTTCCACAATACTTTCAACACAGTTTTGTTGTTTTTTTAACACAGGATAAAAAGAGCGCTGATGACTTACATCCCAACAAGGTGTCATGCCTCCCTTTGGTCTTGTCCTTCTTCTTTGTGCAGTCCCAGCCATCAAAGAAACTCTGCAGAGATAAAGAGACAATCGTTGCAGATTTTAGGAATAGGGCCTCTCTGTAATAACCATTCAAATATCTTACACAAACAAATCTTCAACACATCATTTTTGTTTTATGTGTGATAAAGAAAACGTATGTTACATAGTGAGCATGATAAAAGCCTATCAGCATATAGTACAGCTAAGGAAATCAAGACTCTTTAACCCAGTGGTTATATTCCTACTGAGTTAAAATTCTGAGTACGCCATCAATGAGAGTACCAAGAGATACGCAAATCCATCAAAATAATCAGTGAATCAAATTTTATCACAGCATAGGCGGGGTTGTGTGGGGTTGTATAAAAAGACCAAACTCGTTATTTAAATAGTTTGGATGGTGGTGTCTTATTTTTGTATCAATTCCAAAACCAAAAACACAGGCAAACGTGAGAAATTAAACAGTGTGTTTCACTGCTAACCAACTGTTAGCATGTCTGGCTACGTAGCTTACTAGCAGTGGAAGTGGGTGGTGGATGCCATCAGAGTTCAGGCTATAGCATTTAAGCCCGAGTCGTTATTGGATTTGGAGAAGTTCACACTCGGGGCAACCTCAACGTTTTCAGCGGGTTAGTCGTCATCTTAAAAGGCTTTTCTCTTGTAACATTAAAATTGAAAATACTGTTTGTAAATTAACCAAAGTATGTACGTCACACAGCCAAACAGGGTAATGTTGTGAGAGAGCAGTGACCTTAGATATTTCATTATTGTACTTACTTACTTACATAAAACTAGGACCTAACTACAACACAGTCACGTTGCTTTAATCGTTGTCTTCTACATGGATCAACATGAGCTTAGCATCACATGAGTTTTTTTTGCGTTTTCAACCAACTCCTTGAGCTGATATCAGTTTAATTAGCCAGCTGGCCATGGAGACAGTTGTAATATGTAAGATGGTAAATGGTAAATGGACCTGTTCCTGTATAACACCATTCTAGTCTTCCGACCACTCAAAGCGCTTTTACACTACATGCCACATTCACCCTTTCACACACATTCACTCAGCGATGGCAAAGTCCATCAAACAGAAACTAACTCATTCACACACATTCACACACCGATGCACAGCATCAGGAGCAATTTGGGGTTCCGTATCTTGCTCAAGGATACCTCAACACGTGGCGGGAGTAGCCGGGGATGGATCCAACAACCTTCCGATTAGAGGACGACCCACTCTGCCTCTGAGCCACAGCTCTTGCTCAGCTCTTGAGCCACTTAAAATGTAAGAAATGAGAAGCATGCTTTTATCTATTTTGTTTAAAGGATCCATTGTTTTAGAAATGGCAAAACAAATTCCAGTGCTACCTGTACCAAAACTATTGTCATTGTACACTGCAGATTTACTGTGTGAGAACAGAAATGATATACTAAAAACAAACGCTAGCCTCTTAAGAACTGTTTTCAAAATGAGAAGAAATAATAATAAACTGCAGTATACTAACCACTGCATGCTGAGAGGTGTGGCAATTAGAATGAAGGCAGTGGGGCTGTCTGTCTGCTTGGTGGATGGCTGCTCAGCTGTATTATAACACATCATACTGAGTCACACATCTCCTCATTCCCTATCATCCACCTGTCTGCATGGATGCACTGGAGAGCCCTTACTCTCATGCGTCGTCATAAGCCATTTTTAAGCGTCCACTGTAGGGCCAAATTAAGCTGGCAAACAACCCCTTCAGACCCATGAATAGAAACACACACACACACACACACACACACACACACACACACACACACACACACACACACACACACACACACACACACACACACACACACACACACACACACACACACACATATCCATACCAGCCTACCCCCTGTGGTTCTCAGCCACTGGGGGAATTTGGTGAAACTCTGCCCAAGTCTGCATGCTGAGCAGGGGATTACAACGCAGTTCTCCCCACAGAGAGCCAAGAACCAACCAAATCCTTCCTGGGATTACACCCTCCTTCTCAATTTTTGCTCAGTTTTCCATGCGCGCTCTCTCTGGGTCTGACTCTCTCGATGAATCCCTTGTTCTCTTTACCTCCTTCTACCCCTCTTCAACTCCTCTCCCTGTCCACCTCTTCCTACTTGTTCTTCCTCCATCTCTTATATTTTTGACACTAGACCTCTGAGCTCTCTTTGTTTCTCTGCTCCCACCACTATTCTGCTCAACTCTCTAGAGAGGGGATGGAAGCAGGGAGAGGAAAAACAGAGGAAGAAAAACTGTGAGAGAGTAGCAGTATATTGAAGGGGAGGGAAGGGAGATAACACAGACCCGTGGAAGATTGATTAGAAACCCTCATTGGCAGGGATCAGTTGGGTGGGTTGGTTAAGAGGATCATATAAAATTAGATGAAGGAAATAATGACAGTCAAGTACAGTCCTGAACTATTGACACTATTTCACTTTTAAATCCCTTTTTCTAATTTTAACATCTTGATGTGCTATCAACATCCCACTAGATTTCATTATGTGCATTATTTGTTACCCCTCAGTAACCTCTGTAACAGTGGACATGCTGTCCCCCACTATTTCCCTTGCCGGATCACTCAACTGTTGGGTCACCTCGTTCTGACCTGTTCCTTTTTCACCCACATAATTTCTAAATGTCAAAAAACAATCATGAGATTCATAATCCCTCAACATTCAGTCAAAATCCAATCAGAGATGTCTGAGATGTGATACACAAACTAAGGGACAATTTAATCGAATATTCTAGTCAAAAAAATATGACGAATAAGCATGATTCATGCTACCAAAAACGTGGCATGAGGTAGTTGTTGTTTTTTTTAAATAAACACAGTAATTTAATAGCTCCTGCTGCAACTACACTTTGAAGTCAGTCACTCCATCTTCCCTGCTAACCTCAGCCTCAAGGTGCTACAATGAAAGTTTTGAGTTCTCCAGTAAAGCTCCGCTGTTGTTTACTCGTAAGTTTCTGCAGTGGGAAAATGAATGTAGTGACAGCAGCTGCCACACATACAAGCCCCTCTACAAGTCACTGTAAATTCTTGATCAGTGTTTTTACAGAACATAGGTATTCTTCAGGGAAATAAAAACCTATACCTGTCAGGGGAGTGTAATATGATACTCCTAATCATTTTCCTTCATAATAGAGAGAGACACTCCATCAAAACACATACTCTAGCGCACAGAGAAAAAAATAACAAAGAGGTGTGTATTGATTTTTTGAGTGGAGTGTGTTTTGCCCGTGAGGGACAGTTTAATGAGTCTACAAGCAGAGTTCCAGAGGGGAAAACCATGAACCAAAGACAAAAGCTGTTTTCTCTTTTTCATGAATGCCATGGGCCGTGGGTGACCGGGATGGACTTCTCCCCAGGGTGTGATCTCAACTCTCAGCCACAATCGTTTCACTGGAGAGAGGTATTCAGAGGTCTGGGCCCTTCATTATGTGCCCCTGAACAATTCAAGTAGAGATAGCAGCCACTGCAACAGCAGGAGGGGGATAAGCAATGTTCTGGAAAACAAACTTGTCTGTACATACGGTTCAATTCAGGACTAAAATCCTGTGGTGCATTGGTGCAAAAACAAACTAACCAAGTAGTGATCTGCCCAGCAAAGTGACTTACAACAAACAACAGTGGTGGTGCAAGCAGATTCAGAACAATTTCTTGTACGTAGGTTCCTGGACAACAACTTGACTAATAATAGTATGAATCAGTGGTAATTCCCTACCCTAGGAATGCAGAGCCACTACATGACGAGACATCTGATTTGGACATCCCAGATCTAAACCCAAGTGTCATCATCGGACCTCTGCAATGTGAGTATCCCAAATCCTGAACAGATCAGGGATGTCCCCATCAACAACATCTAGTGGTCCCCAAGGTGAAGAGAATCCTGTGCATCACAGTCTGATGGTTACCTTTGCCAATTATAGAGCAATTAAGTTGCACCATATATTGTTGAGGGAGATAAATACTAACATTGCTACTGGGAGGAGGTTATTTGGAGGTTACAGGGCACGGGAGCCAAGAGCTCTCTTTCCTCACATTTCTCCCTCTGTACCCTTTCATCTTTCTTCCCTTCAGACTCCTCTTTCCTCTCTTTGCTACCCTACAATCTGTTAGCAGTGGACAGGGGATTCACTAACTAGAGCACCTCCAGAGACGTTTAACCTCATCAGGCCTGCCGTCATGACAGAGGTCTTCTTTGGGGCCCAAATGAGGATGATTTATTCATACGCGCAGCAACAGTGTGATCCAGATGCCTTTTTAACCCTGCTAATTAATTTCAGTGGGTGGTCAGGAGGGCGCATGGATGATGTCAGTGGAGGATTGATGGCCTCCCACACCACTCTCGCAAGATCAGTCCAACTAATGTGGCCTCTCTAAGCTAACAGTTATCTACAACATGTAGTAATTACACATGATCCTTCTTACTTTTGACTAGCCAATAAAGATACCGGAACTAGTACATTTTTAGGCACTCAATCACAGTCTCATCTGGATGGGACAAGCCACAGTGGCCTCAAATCTGTGTCACACGTCACTTATCGATGGCAGGTTTAAAGGTGATCCAATTTTCTGTCGTCAGGAAGACAGAATCAGTCTCTTCCACCATGGGCATCTCTCACTAGTGTACCGTCCTCTGCTGAGTATACAAACTCAAACACTCTTCAAACAGCACCGAGGGTTTGTCTGTAAGGTTTAGAAATTCCTCAAAATAGTCCTTCTACCTCCTAACAATGTTGCCAATTAGGGTCAACCACTCCTGCTGAGGAAAGTCTGGGTACTGACCTACCTTCCTCCCTGGGGCACCAAGTACTGTTGCTTCATCAACAACAATGCTTTCACTTCTTTTAAGTACTGCACCAGCAGCCTTTTTAACTTGCCGTTTTCTCCACTGTATTAGAAGCACCCAACCTGGGATGGAAGCGCATCAGAGTAGCCACTGTATCAGACCTTACGGTGAAGAGGGAGCTAACAGTAGAAGCTTTGTCTTTTGTCTATGCTACAACCTCCCCTATGGCAATGAGCTCTGAGAAGAGGATGAAAGAATGAGATCATGGATACCAGAGGCGAAAAAAGTTTTTTCCCTACAAGGTGGCTGGCCTTCCTTGGGGGAACTTGGTGCTGTGTCAATGCTCTTCCACACTAAGAGACAAGATCTTTGTAACACCCCGGGTCACAGCTTTACAGGTATACTGGCAAACTAGATTTAGAGGAGACCTAAGGATAGAACTGGCACATGTTCAAGAGATGATACCTTTCAGATGCCATGGAAGCACCAAGAAAACCTTCCAAAGAAGAAGCTTTTTGCTGTGACATTAACCCAGTTAAGCAGCTACTGGATGGATGGATGGATAAATATATGGATTTAAAGTTATCTAACTGCATAAGTCACAATGAAGCATCTATTATTCATACACATAACCAGCAGTTCCATTGACGACTCTGACCTTGTGACCTATTATTGAGAAAAGCAGGAGAAGCTTGTTCATATTTATTTCTCTTTGACTCTATTTCAGTGCTTCTGTCACAACAGTTTCAGCATGACACTTGTGATTCCACAGATACTACACAGAAGAACACTATAGAAAACAGGATGTGGAAGACACCATGCAGGGAACATTTCTCTTCCCATGGGAACTGAGATGCTATAACATCACTGACAACCTTGGTAGGGAAACGAATAAAACTTCCAATAAGGTACATAAACATGAAGGCAACTAGACCAATTGGAATTCAAAGTAAAGGTGAAAAAGCCTCCGACTGTGATATTGGATAATTTACATTTCTGCAGTTTGGGTGTTCTTGCCTCTAGTTCTCTCACTTGCTGTATGTTAAAGTAGGAATAAATGGACCAATTATAATCATGGTGTTGAATTTACACTTAAGGTTGATCATTTAATAATACAATCACAGTGTGAATACTGAATTAGAATATTGCAGTTCTAAAATCTCTTTTATAATGGTCCACAGTACTTGACACTGCTTCACCAGCAGCAATACTTTGTTGATGTTCATTTCATGTCGTCAGAGTATAACATTAATAGTTGTCTATGTTGTCTTAAGTTGTCAGATTGTAAAAGAGAAGTGTAATAACGGCCTTTCACCTCATATTCCTGTTTAAAGCCATAGCCCTCGGCAGTCTTCATCTGGTTGATGTGCTGGAGAAGGTCAGCCACACGGACAGCGGGATGGAGCTGCCCTGTGTGGTAGGGGGAGCCTTTGCGTCCACACTGGTGCCTCGGGGATCCTCCCAGCAGGCTGCTGGCCTCATTCACTGAACTACGAGCATCACCTGCGCCAAACACATTTGCAATTTTAGTGCAATTGCAGTTGAAAAATCAATGTAAAGCCAGGTTATGGTATAAAATTTAGTTTGTGATGCAACACTGGTGTTACTTTTCAAAATGTTAACATCACATAATGGCACTCTGCATGCTGGTACTGACAGTGCAGTACAGTCCAGTAGAGTACAGTATATGTTACAGGTGTGTCACTTTGCTAAGGTTTGTCTGTTCTTCAAAATATATCTTATGTAGATGTGACAGCAGCTCTGTCTGTGTGAAGCAGACAAAGATCTGTACCAACGTTGTAAAGTAAACACATCTGTCTTTCCCTCTCTGTGAGACTGACAATATTAGAAAAGAGATCAAGATGAAATGCACTGACAAAAATCACAAATGATTTCAGTCAAATATGTTACTTCACTTGTGCAATTCTCCCTTTTTTACAATCTTGTGAGATTCTTTGTGTATCAGCTGCAGGCAGTGAATAGCTGAGGGTAAGTCGTACCAAATAATGTTTTTCACACAGGACGATAACTATCTTTCAGAATGATTCAGACATTTATGGAGTGAATGAGTGACGGTCAACAAGATTACAAAGTGAGAGATGAATTGCGTCAAGTTTGAAATTGCATTGTGTAGTTGTGGTAAGCTGGTAGGTTTGTGTACAGTACAGTATGTGTGATTCTCAATGCATTTGTCTTACTGCGTGTGCCGCAGGTGTGTGCATCCATGAAGGAAAGAGCCATTCTTTCATCCTCCTGTAGGGTGCTCTGGTCTGTGAAACTGCGCTCCATGGAACCCATGTGGCTCTTCTCCTGCCGGTAGGTAATGGGCGTCTTATTCATGTTCACTGGTTTCCTATTAATGTATAAAGAAGAATAAGGAGGGGGAATTGCAATGCAGGAGAGATTGTAATGGGCAGACAGAGAGAGGGAGAAAAAGAAAATGCTAGGTTTAGTAAAGACAAATATGTGATGAAAGAGGTGTATACACCAACCAACTGCTTTATTGTCGTCCCTCTACAACTTATGACTGACAGCCAGAGCACAAGCATGTGTATGATGGATCACAAAACGATGGAAAAGCTAAGAGGTGGAGTCACTTACGGATAGTAAGAGTAGTAGTCCCTTCTGGCAAGAGTGCAGGAGAAGAAAAAAAATCAAGAGAAAGAAGAGATGTAATATGAAAGCAATGTCAGCTGAATGCATTGATTACAGTGAAAATGAGAACCACCCTCTCATGAGCTCGGCCATGCAGGAGGCCATATGACACATGCAAATGTACTAAGCAGGTGCTGACAGACCAAAGTGAGGCAGAAAAACGTGTGTTTCCTCCCATCGAATATGTTTCAGTGTTACATTTCAAGGACTAGACCACAAGGTTTCCTGTCACAGCAAATTTACCAATCAATTCTCTAAGAGCGAACTTCATGGCGGCTTAGTAGACGAACCCTGGCTAATGTGTAGAGTAGTGGTGACTTTCAAAATCAACATTATTCAATATTAGCCTGGACGCTGTGTCAGCCATTTAATAATGCTTCCTGTAGCCCTGAGTAACTGCCCATTTGGCATGGCAGGCTCTAGATTTCAATAAATCTTATTTAAGTAAAGCAGGTTAAGCCGTATTTGAGACTTAAACTCAGGCTGTAGTACAGCTGCTGAATACATGCATAGACAGAGGTGTAGATGATCTACTGTAGACCTGTGGGATCATTGGCTAATAATCTCTAAAAGCACACCTTTTCCCTCCCAATTACCATCTCATTTAAGGGTCAGGCCTCTGCTTGGTGTGCGTAATTAAGTGGCTAATTGAATTGCATCCGCCTCTAATTAAATACTTCACACTCAGATAGGCTCCACAGATGAGAGTTGTTTGGTCCCTCTGGTGCACCATACGGGAATGAAAACAATGCAGCTCTGGCTGTTGGGTCCAGCATCTTCCCTAAACAAGCATGACCTTTTCGAAAAGTTCAGCAAGTATAAAAACTGAACTGTTCCAAAACAAAACATGAAGGGAAAAACAATGTGGGAGATGTGGTGTGATTGTGCATAATGAGGCATGTTTTGTACTCAACACTTGTCAGCAGACGTTTACCCTTTTTTAATGATGATGATGACGGCGCCGAGCAGAAGGATAAGGACAACCAGACCTCCAGCACACACCCCAAGAATCAGACCCATCTCCTCAGAGTGTTGGGACACCTCCAGAGCCTTGCGGTGATCTTTGCAGGCCGCTAGAAGCAGAAACACAGACGCAGGTTGGAAGGAAAGAAATTATTCACAGGAAAGTTTAAAACAGGGAGTGTGGAAAACTGAACATAAGAGATTGGAAAATTGAAAATTCACATCTTTTGAAGAACTTTTTATTTGTACACATAAAACTTTCTATCCCACAAATGTAGACTTTTCACATGACAATACAAACTTTCACACTGCTCCTCATGAATACTGCGAGAAGGGGCCACTGAATTATAATGGTTTTGGAATGCTACATTTCAATAACAGTGGTATTTTCAAGAGGGTTTTTTCAAATAGTTTGCATGAATAAAAGAGACATGAGAATAAAGAAGTGATGCTGTAAGCAAGGCGGACAGTGATTGTCCATGTTGTCCAACACAACAAACCTGCGGTGCTCAGAGATATATAATGACAACTTGTGCTGTGACAAACAAAATTATGGCTGGCACGCAAGAATAAAAGTTTGGTTTTCAAAAGGGTTTTCAACCAGCTATTTAGACTGTTTAAGATTTATACTGATGTTTACAGAAGAGGAATCGAGACAAGAAAATAACCAGATTGATATAAACTGGGGTAGAAGTAGTAACAATTTTCACAAGAGTTGCAGATAAGCAACACATTGTTCTTCAACAGCATTGCAACAATAAACCTATACCTATACTTATGATATTGCAATTGCAGGCTTTTATGCTATGGTACATGCACTAAACCTTTGAGGTGCATTTCTATTCAATACTGAATTAAATATTTTTCCCAGTCACAAGTCATCCACACATCCCTACTGTCTAATCTCAAGGTGCCCTGGTGTCTGTGAGCTACTGGAAAGGTCGTTATCATAATAGCAGGTTATTCATTTCTCTGGCATAAAGCTTCATACTTATGTAAATGGTGCTGAGCAGAGGGCCTTTCTTTGTCTTGTTCTAGGGGCCCACTGATCTAGTTTTCCTAGTGTGTGTCAGCGTGTACTCCAGGCCTTGACAGCCCTGAAACTAGCCTTTTCTGAGCCTATTGGAACAGCACAACCTATCTGGAGAGCGGCAGAAAGTCAGAGTAGGCCTGGGGATAGAGCTCTATCTTGCAGCCTGCTGGGGAAAAATCAGATCTGGGGCAGGGAAAATGAAAACAGAGCCATGTTTGAGCCCAACTATCTGCAGCCGTGGGCACTTTATGGGTGTTTTAAAAGCCTCATACCATACAAAGAAGAAAGTAGGGCAATATCATTTTATTATTTGGCACAATTTTTTAATCAATGACGCAGGAGTTTGGGACATCTGAGTAGAGAAAATAAGTCTTTGGTTTGATATTAGAAAGGAAGGGTTCCTTCTAAAATTGCTGAGAACATGGCTCCCTCTTAGTAACATGTTGTTCCAAAAATGTGACATTTCTGGGTGTGTTGTTCAGTGTATAGACACCACATCTGACAGGTATACTTTACTTTGCAGAAGAGGTAAGAGAGGGTTTCGTCAGACTGAATCAAAGATAAATAATTTTTTTTCTCTTTTCACACACAGATACACCCCATCATCCAAACACGCCTTTGTGTCTGTGAGCTACTGTAACTGAAAATAACACACTGTCGATTTTCAGCCTGTCTCAAGGTGCTCCATTCAAACAAACACAAACTCAGCACTTGCTGTTTATTTTATGCTGTGACCTCGTTTAAAATGGCATGTACACATGAAATACAGGGGTACTTTATATTGGCTGAAATGCAGATGAAGTGGTGAAAAATCAATTTTACTTTTCTGACATTTTGGACAGATAAGGGGGTTTTGCCACATTTAGCCTCAAAATTTCTATTAAGCCAAACACGAGCATGAAATAGATTTCCACATGAATCCATACACCTGCCAGCTGCCCGTTGGTGGAAATTGGCACTTAGAGGAGAAATGGAAGTCTATTGTTGTGTCGAGCCTGCCAGAGGATCCTTAATTAAACTGTCACCTGGAAGTTGAAATGTAATCTCCAGCTTTGTTATCCAAGCCAGAATCATTTGCCTCCACTTTGCTTGTGATGGGCTGCTTGATAATAACGGCTTAGGACCCGATGATGCAGAGGCTATGTTAATGGTAGAGGGATCACGGAGATCACAAACAGCGACAAAAAAAACCTGACTTGTCGCACCTTGAAATTGGAAATCAACCAGAGAATTTTTCACCTATCAATTTGTCTCTCAGGGTTTTTATTCAGTTACATCATCCACATGCTGGATGATGTAATACTGGCAATTTTTTTGTGTATTTTTCTCTCCTCTGTCTCTTGTCTTATCTCCCCTTCTTCTCTCATTGGACTTTATGTTACTATTTTGCTCACATATTAAATGTAAATGATTTTGATTGTTGTAGTTCCATTGTGCATTTCTTTCTTTCTATCTTTTCTAAGTGTCAAGGAAAATAGGCGAGCACAGTGTAAAGCCCGTTGCTGTGAGAAAGCATAATTAATCAATGCCCAACCAGGTAGATGAAGTGAGCTAAAATGGCTGGCCTTGCCTCTTGGCTCTATGCTTGACGAGAGCCTCTTCTCTTTTGTTTTTCACTCACAAAAAAGACCTTCACCAAAAAAAGAAAAAAAAAGATGCCCGCCAAGACAATTTACTTGTAAGGCTCTGCTTACTGTTGCAGTGCTATTATAACTATAAATACATGACTTTTATTCACCATGATCTGACAGTGTACTGTGGCAGAGGGGCTCTCCTGCCATCAGGACTTAGAGTCAATTTCCCTGCCCTTTTCATGTCCCCTTGAATCCAAAAGATAGAGGTACAGACGGGGGTGGGAGGGCTTTCTAATACTGATAGGCCAAGGTAGCTCCATCAGGAAGTTTTGATCTGGAGGACCCTTCTGGACTGCGCTGAGGTCAAAGCCCTCAGATGTAGCCATCTAGTGGGATGCTGATGAGAACAAAGAGACTGCCTTTGATATAGTGTGTCCCAGCGTCTGCCCCCAAACAAACAGGATGAAAGCCTGACCTCTAATCCCTCCCTGCATGTTGCCCTTTTCTCAGAGGCCCACTGCTAAACAACGAGGACCGGCAGAGAAAATTTGCCCAGATCCCCACTTGAGAGAGAGGTGAGTAACCGTGCAATATAGACTAAACTAAACAATACAGTTACAATTTAATTGTTAATTTCTCATCTTAGAACAACGAGAAAGACAATTTTGCGAGACACAATGCAGGAAAACTCATTCAAGGTTGCAGTGTTTGCGGAAGAAGAAATATTCATGTTGAATTACCTTTGCGAGCGATGCGGATGCAGTTTATTCTGGATTCCTAAGAGAGAAAGAAAACATCAGAGGGGAGGGAGGATTTGCATTTTGCATAAAAGAGATGTGATAAGAGAAAAGAGGATGATGTGAAATACTGAGCTGACACACACACACACACACACACACACACACACATCACGTTGAAAATATGACCACAGCAGATAAAAACACATTCTGAATGAACATCAAAACATGATGTTTACTCCTCCAACACAAAGGAAACATGAGGTAACTCTGGACCGCATCTGGAACCACAGTGCTGTCTTGCCTCTCCGTTTCTACCACCTGATTCGATATTCAAATTACTAATACATGAGTGGGTTGCACTCCTTTCCAGAATTTACTTCATGATAGAGACACAGATAAACTACAGGAAAAATGATTCAGCCTAAAAGGACAAATTACCTCAGAGTTAAGAGGTCCTATTGACAACATGAGATTACAAAATATCTAAAACTTGAGAGCTGTGGTGAAGTGCTTGAGAAGGAGATTCTTGCTGAAGGAGAAAAGATGAGAGTTGAAAGGGAGCGAGCATAATTAAGAGGAGGGTTTCAGACCAGTGCACCACTATGAAAAGGAATTAATTTTATTCAAATTTCAGCTGATGACATCTCGGTGTTATGAAAAGGACCTTTGTCAAACAGCACTAATGAGATCCAAGACTGTAATCCAATTCCATCCTGCCACCTCTTGGAGGAGATGCATTATCAAATTAAGATTTACAGATGCTAATTCAGGCATTATGGGACAATTATGCAAATTTCCCCATTCAGAAATGAGCAAAAAGCGCTTTCCTCAAACTCCAGTTGAATTGCTTTTTTAAAATTGAAAATTCATTTTAAGCTGACAGACACTTTAACAAGCTCTTAACCCATTGGTTTGATCTGAAAGTACAGACCCAAACTGTAGACAAACATGTTGTCTGTCAGACAGACTGTCATTTCATTCCCACAAACCCACTGCTCAGATTCAGAGAATGACAGAACATATGTTTACCATATGTGGATGGTAGTTCCAGTGCCACTTCCATTCATGGTCCTCACAAAGTGTCTCATTAGATTTGAATCAGACGTATTGCACATTTTCTTTTGTTTTATGATGCATTATAGATGATTATACAGTAGAATGTAGGTTTGCCTTTAAAACAGGTACAAAATGCTAGTAGTAGTAGTAGTAGTAGTAGTAGCAGTAGTAGTAGTAGTACAATGACAACATCAATGTGTCTCATGGTATCTCCATCTAATAGTTAGGGCTGAAATTTCACTCAAAACCAAAACTGTGAACCTCATGATGGTGCTAGAGGAAAAGTCAGTAGGTCAACAAAGTTAGTAGGAGTCGACCTCTGGGGACCATCAATGACTGTGGAAAGTTTCAAAAAAACACATCCAATAGTTGTTATATTTCAGTCTAGACCAAACTGCAGAATGCTGTTAGTGTGGCTAAAATGATTGATTAATACTTGTTGAATTTCTTTCTCTAAATTTAACAGCAATATAAACAAATACTATTCTGCGTTCTGATATTTCGATGTAAAACGTTTTGAGACTGATTGAAAAGTCGTACTTCAAGTTGAGAAGTAGTACTGCTATTTGCATGACCTAATTATTATTGGTGCACTAGTATAATAAAATTGATATCTATTCGTCTTAATCAATACTCATTAATCAGGTTGTTCAAAAGTGCATCCCTGGTTCATTTCTCCTCTGGAAACGCTGACTGGTGACTTTGTGCTTTTGAGGGACTGACTCAATTATAGGAACTATTTTCCATCAAAAATAGCTGATTCATCCAAACCAGCCTCCATTACAGAGACAGTATTTGAAAATCTTACTGTACATCATTAAAAGGTTTGGCAAATTAAGATAGAGTACATTTACATCTATTTCCTATAGATGATTTTAAAAATGGGCTGCGGTGATGATAGAAACGCATTCTGAAACATGCACATCTGAATCATTGCGTGCCGGCTCAGCAGAAGAGTTAATTGGCGAGCTACAGATTGCGGGACACACATCACACATCTGGCCGTGCTGCGCCAGTCAGGCCAAAGGGGCTAGTGTTTCCTGGCAGCTATAAATACAAAACACAAATGCCAACATGTGACACGGGGCTCCTCCACACACACTCAAGGTTTTACAGTGGTTGCCTGTGTGTGAAATAGGGAGATGTAAGAGTAGATGTTATGAATGCATATTATTCAAAGCTACAGTCTGTATCCACAGTCTTTCAAGTACCTCTTTAGATGAATCAATCAAAACAATTAGGGGCTTGACAGCCACTCAGCTGATAATTAGCATGAGTAAATGCCAAATATTATGGGTCCCATACTGTTCAAACTACTCTCATTACTGCCACTGTTTTTAGAATTAGGTGCAATGCTGCCGTCCACAAAGACAAACACAAACTTAAATAGACCACACAGACCCTGATTCAGTACAATTAAATGATAAAACAAGTAAGCTGACAGTTCAGTTTACATTTTAATAAGGTGTTCAGGGTGCACATATCTTAAATGACATGACAACTTTATCGCCACTTCCATATGCAGAAACCCTTATCAGCAACTGTTTTATCCAAGTAAATATGAGTGTTTTCTGATGTTTCATTCTTAGGAGAGAAGAGCTTTCAGTGCCAGCTACCCTTTTAGTTCAAGAGCAGGTACACTTTTATTCCTTCTCCCACAATGAGTGGGCATAAGGCAATTATGTTTTTTGTACACAATTCAAAAACTACTATACAAATATCCCACAGCACATGCATATGCTGGCTGCATTTATGCTTCTGTACAAAATCTGATTTAAAATGCTAAAATGTTCCATTTAGGTCTACCTTTTTGTGACAGAGTGAGCACAGTGCTAAAATGTAAAAGGCCTGAAATGCATAATTACACATGGAGGATAAGCAGGAAGACAAAATACAAAGGGAAATATAAAATAGCACAAAACACATTTAGCAATTACTGCACCTTTCTAATCCATACAGCATGAGCCAAACATTAACATCTGTAATAGACTCCCTCATTATCACGTGGATGGGACGGCTTTCAAAAGATTGCGTGAAGTGAAAAATAACTCATGTTAAGAGTATCATTAAGAGTCAATAGAAGGCATCAGAGTCAAAACGTATAATTTGTTGGTCTTTGAGCGCTGAAGTTGCCACTATGTTATGCTCTTATTTAAACTAACTTTGCGTAATTAGCACTTTTTCTGCTACAGCCCGTATGTGTCGGTTGACATTGCGTTAGCCCTGCTGTGACATTTCTTCTCTGCCCTGCTGTTGACTGGTTATATGCCCAGAAATGAGCTGCCCCTCACCTGTGCCGAACTGATTGCATTTTTTGGCTGGCACACAGAGTAAAAAGACTCCTGTGCTTAAAAAAAGCAGAAACATCACACTTAAAACAAAGACTGGTCTGATGTCTGAAACTTTGATTCAATAATAATGTGTTTGCTGGGGTAAGTAGTCGTTTTTTTGACTAAAACTCTTGCAGCCATGAAAATTAAGTCCCTGCCCTCCCAGCACACTTCAACTGTGTGCTGGGAGGAAGGAACTAAATTAATTGTTTCAGTCCTGCAGCACCAACGCAGGACTGTTGCCCAGATTTCGGCAGTGACTGGCTACTGTATTTCCAGGCGAAGACAGCAGCAGTGTTTGAAAGACTGGGGACAGTGCTGGCTGTGTGATTTGGCTCCACTCATTGTGGGTCATGGGTGCTGGCCCCCCGCCAGGCAAAACAAAACCTAATCCCATCCGCTGGTAAAGCCAGGCCTCCCCTATCTAATCCCATGCTTAGCAGCCTAGTTGTGTGAAGTGCTCACACTGCAGTCCCTCCGTGTATTTCTCCACTGGGTTGGAAAAAGATGCTACTGGCGGGGATGAGCCATCCAGCTCTGTTCATGGGACTTTATAATATACACATGGCCAATGCCAAAAAGTGACGTGATCACAAAGTAACCACTGGCAGGATTCAGTCAAACAGACCAGTAACCCAGCTTACGTGTATTTATTCTCAGTTGAGGATCACAGAAGGCTGCGTTACCTGCGGCAACATTTCTTAGTTTCATTGCCACAGTCTGCGAATATTAAAGCAGCAGCTTTCTACCTCTGATCATCTGCACCTGTGCCCAATTATCCTTAAGTAATTGCCTCGCCCAGGTAGCAGCTCTTCCTGTAATGGAATTTGGAAAGGTAATGTGGCGTCCTCTGGGTATGACTGGAGACTGGAGGGCTCTGTGTGCTCAGTGAATTGGATGGAAACAAAACAGTGTGAAATAACGTACCACTTCTCAACTAACAAGGTCTACAACTAAGTGTTTGTTATGGACATCAAATACAGAAATGTATAAACTTTAAGCCTGGTTCTGTGTTACTTTGGTCAAGATTCACTGGCTGTTTTAAAAGATACTCCACTGATTAGGAGCATAAAGAAAGAGAAAAGAAGATAATAATCAAAGGCCTACTCATTGAGGGACATGAGGTAACAGGATCAAAATAACAAAAGGGAAAGCATTGAAAGTAAAAGACAAATGAAGTGAAGTACGTTGTTGACTCTGAGTGATTCAAGCTAATCACAGCTTTTCTAGCTATAAGTAATGCATGCAAGTAATTCCCTGTTTCAGACATGCTTTGTTTGCAAAGAATCGAAGCATACATCATTTCCAAGTAGTTACACTGCCAGCTCAATATGTTTTCATCCAACAACCCCCTATCACAGCACAAATACTCTTTCAAGGGTTGTGAGCCCAGACAATGCCAACCATCCTACAGCGTCACCCATAGCATTAGTAAATACAGATACTCATTAATACCACTGGCTTAGAATTATCCTGAACACTAATGTCTACAGCTAGCTGATGAAGTGTTCCTAGATCTGCTGCACCACTGGTGGGAGTTTACAACCACTCACCCCTCTGAAGTTGCTCATGGCCTGGAAGTAGACAAGGTAGCTCTTGCGTGGGTCCAAAGGGCTGTTCCAGTAGCCGTTGTAAGTGTGATTGTCGCCCACAGTGAAGGGACTGGGCTCTGGGAGGCTGCTGGGTGGCAGCTCGGCTGTGTAGTAGTGTGGTGTTCCCCGAGCCTGCGCCTCACCGTGGGACATGGGCAGTGGGAAACACTCCTGAATCCCCAGCTCCCTCTTCACTTTCTTCCCAGTCTCCTCTTCAACCACCACCTGGTATGTACTGGACACAGGGTGGATGTGCACCTTTAATAAGCCATGTTTGGTATAAAAAAAAGATCTAATATGTACGTGTGAGAGGATTTCCTCACCTGACAGGTGCCCCTCTGCCTAGGGCGGGGCGCAGCAGGACAGTAATTGTGTTTTCTGTCTCGCTCAGAGGGGACGGCATGTCGCCATAATCAAACGTGGGAGCTGAGGACACACAGAAACAGTTTAAACAGTCTCTGCTTCTTCCTCCTTCCACATAAACATGTTCAGTTCCTCAATGTCTTGTAAACTGACAGACCTTCAAGAGCCATCCTTTTCTCCCTGTAAACAACTACCAGTACTAACATACCCAACACCCTTATCCTCATATTCAGTAAACTGTTTGAATTTCTAGTTGTCCAGTCAAAATTCATGGGAGTAAGGCTAAATTGAATGGGGTTTTTAATTTAAAAGGATTTGGCTAAAGTTGTCCTCCTCCCTGGAGATGTTCCCGGCACATTTCTCTTTAATATCGGTGGCCAATTAGTGAGGGGAACTGAGAGCAAACTATTCATGAGGAATCAATGATTATCATATTAAAAAGGCGGTTCGCTAATACTGCAGCAGAAAAGAGCTGACATCATTAAGGAAAACTGAATTGTGCATTTGTTGACATTAAAGGTCTGTTGTGGTTTGTAGAACTAAAAGAGGCTTTGACGCCTGCTGCCAGATAGAGTCTGTTTGAAGGATGATTGTGTATCAGCCACGGCTGCACACGCGCCTGAATGTATGTGTGCGCGTGCCGTGCGTGCCGTGCATGCGTGCGTGGGTGCGAATGAGAAAAAGTGTGTAGTTGGACACTCTGCGGTGGGTATTGCTTGAAGATGCTGACAGTAGTAGCTGTTGAAGGTGTTCAGTGTTTGCTAGCTGTCAATGCAGATTTGAGAGACACTCAGTGTAAGTGAATGTTCAGCACCGTGGGCCAGTGGAGGAGGTTGAGGATGATCTGCAAAGACTTTTGGACTCTATCTGCGGTCTGGCTCTGTGCCAACGTTCTGCCTGACATACAGGCAATGTGCTGTGATTGTGCACTACATCTATAATTAAACTAAACTGGCCTCTCTGTAAAGAGATAGGAGCAGAAGAAGTGAGTAAATTTGTGCACGAGACAAGGTAGGAGTGGCTGCGTTGTGTGTTCCTAAGAGGTGTAATCCCATCCCTTAACAAGCGCAAATGCATCATTAAAAGGAAACAGAAACACCAAGACTGGATTTCTATCACCAGTAATAAGCTCTGAGACTCTCGGAAGTGACACTCTGGTCCCAAGAATGTACTGCATCTTTCTTTATACATAACACACAGCAGTGTCCCCTCTGTGGTGTTTCTCTGCTTCCTATGAGTTAATTTATGTCTTGAGGACTGTGAGATGACAGTCTGTCACTGGTTCGGAGAGGCAATGGAAAATAGCTCTTACACTCTGGGAGCAGTAGTTTTGCCTCTGCCAGAGAAGAAAGATGCCGAGGTCAAAAGAGAGAAAACCTGCATCCTAATTATAGCACGCAGTGGGTGAAGTCTAGTGTTATACCTGCATGCTGTATCCGTGATAGGCAGTGATGGCACAGAGAGCAGCATCTACATGGAGAGGCTGCCCGTTTCCATATCTATTTCACTCATTTTTCACGGCAGCTTTCACACTCCCTCGCAAACACCGACTCTCCGTCAGTCAGTGGTGCTAATACCTGAGATGTTAGTGGTGATTTCAGTGAGAGCTGTCTGGCCAAAGCCCTTGGCTGTGCGGGCTCGAACGGAGATTAGGTAAGTCGTCCCGGGGTGGAGGTTGGAGAACATGTGGTAGGTCTCATTCTTCAGCTTGGACACAGTTCTTCTAGGTCCTGGGACGTTGATGCCTGGATCGGACGACTCAATACTCTGGTAACTGATCTGTTGTTAAAAAACAAAACAGGGTAATATCATACAATCTATAGTCACCTTAGGACTGATTTTAGCTGCAAATAAATGTTCAATTTCTAATTAATTTTAGAGTTTCATACTGATCAGCAGAGGTCATTAACTTGGTTCACACGACTGTCTTAAGTAGTAATCCTAACATCTCATTGAAATGAGCCACTTCACTCAAAAATGAATTAAATCAGTTTGCTAATTGCTCATGTGGGTTGACAGTTTAAAATAAATACAACTTGATCGCATTGGCACTGTGAAGTCAAAGTCACACAAGCAACCTGAAGTTTTTCAAAAAGTATTGTGAGTGGGTAAAGATTTTCTCACTAAGTAACGCATTATAAAGGCCACGAACAGAGAACACCACACAGTAAAAAGAGAATTCAAGCGTTTTAAATCAATAGCATTAAGTGTTTATGAGTTCAATTAACTCCTGTTAACGCTCAAAAATTACTGTGCATAAGTGTCCTTTAAAAGTGAAATCTTTTACAAAGTTTTTCTTCAAGAGGTGATTTGGCTTGCCTGCACAGTACTCTCATGAGAATTTCCACTTATACTCTTTGAAATAGTGTGGAGCTAAATTAGATGACCTTACTGCAATCAGACAAGGGTGAGCATATTAGGATATACATTAGAGCTGGAAGAGATCCACTTCATTGAAGGAATGAACACACACTCAATACGTACTGTATACGCTAATATGCTTGTATTACACACCACACACACTGAAGATGCCACTCAAGCCAAACCAAAGGCTTTGCTGATTATCATAAGAGTGTAATGCCTCCTTAGCGTGAAGATAGAATTATAAGCCATCCAGTGACTAAACACAGAGAGACCTCTCTGTTTCCTCCACAAAGGCAGACATAAAAGATGCCTGACAGTGCACAGAGCAGCGAGAAGGGCTTGCAGGACAGCATGGCTGTCGATGGGCTCAGGCAGAGTGGTCAATGGTTTAATCTGAGAGAAATGAGGAGGATTTCTACAGTTCTGTGTACAGCTTTCTTCGTCAGTCGTGGGAGATCAACACACTACAGAGTAAAAAATCCTGTGCAGCCTCCACTTTATATGTCAAACCACAAATCCTATTTAATAATATCCTTGAGGCGACATTGCAAAAGAGGCCAAGGAAAGAAGGCTTGAGGATAGGTAGGCAGGCCTACTGATGGCTTACCACAGACAGAGGGGTATAAAGTAAATCCAGAATCATTATCCTGCTGAATGTGAGGCCTACAGCACAACAGATGCATGTGAGTTATCTATGAATGACACAGGGCTCTATTTTGATGGCACAAGACCAGCGTTACATGCTAAGCCATGTGCACGAGGTCAGTGAGAGCGTATACGAGCATCGCTGCTATTTTCGTTCAAATAGGCATAGCACACCATGTGCTAAAGGGTTGGGTGAAGCAGAATATAAATTGGAGCAGAGTGGTTTGGTGATTAAGCACATATCTGTACTGTGCCAATCGCAGTGGCACTTGGAGAAAATGGCTCATCAAATAGAGAGGAAAGTATTTTTGAACAAAAATAGCAAAGCGCATTTTCGAGTTCCAAGAAAATGCTAAAAATTTGTAGTGTTGCTTGATATTATCTCTGCCCTCCCATAAATGTTATAGATACAAAGTGTTACTGGATGTGCTGTCTGACTATTCAAATTAGGGCTACAGTTTAAAGACGTTCAAAAAGTGTCAAAATCTTATACAGTGGTATGCCAAAGTTTGGGCACCCCTTAGGAAAATCACTGCATCAGTTTGTCACTTGCTGAGCTTTTGAAGCAGCAACTTAATTTTAGCATATGTTATACCTTATGGAAACAGAAACATCTCAGTAGTGAAATCATTTTTATTGGTCCAACAGAAACGTTTTTATGTGCATTTAAACAAAAATAGGCATGTGTATAAATTTGGGCACCCCAAATAAATAATTCCATTAATATTTAGTAGAGCCTCCTTTTGCTGCAATACCAGCCTGTAGACGCCTCCTATAGCCACAGACAAGTTCCTGGCAGGTGGTATTTTGGCCCATTCCTCCATGCAAAACGCCTCCAGTTCAGTCAGGTTTCTTGGCTTCCGTGCGTAGACAGCCTGCTTCAAATCAATCCATAAATTTTCAATGATGTTAAGGTCTGGGGACTGGGATGGCCATTCCAGAACATTGTACTTGTGCTTCTGCATGAATTCCTTGGTGGATTTTGAACAGTGCTTAGGATCATTGTCCTGCTGAAAAACCCAACCCTGGTGTAGCTTCAACATTCTTGTCAAGAATCTGCTGATACTGAGAGGAAGTCATGTGGCCCTCAACTTTAACAAGGTTTCCAGTACCTGTGCTAGTCACGCGGCCCCATAACATGATGGACCCTCCACCAAATTTTACAGTAGGCAATAAGTTCTTCCCATGGAATTCAGTGTGTTTTTTTCACCATGCATACCTCCTCTTGTTCTGACCAAATAACTCTATCTTAGTCTCATCTGACCACAGTATTCTGACCACAGAAATGCTTCTGGCTTGTCCAGATGTGCTTTTGCATACCTCATACGACTCTTCTTGTGACGAACACTCAGGAAAGGCTTTTTGCGCATCACCCTTCCAATGAGCTTTTCCTGGTGCAAAGTACGCTGGATTGTGGAACGATGAACAACTACACCATCAGCAACCAGATGTTCTTGTAGTTATCTGGAGGTGGTCTGTGGCTTGTCTGTGACCATCTTTCCTTCACAAGGACTGTTCCTGTGGCCTTCCATTTCTGCACTACATTTCTGACTGTGGAGGCAGACAGTCCAAACCTTCCAGATAATTTCTTGTACCCTTCTCCTAATTCATAATAATGAATTATCTTAGTTTTTAGTTCAGTGGAGAGTTGTTTAGAGGCACCTATGTTGCCACACTCTAAGAAAGAACCTAGGACAAGAACAGCCAGCAATTACCTATGTTAAACAGCCTTTTTCATGATTGGTTCCACCTGTCTTTGTAATTGAAGGTCTTACGAGCTAATCAAAGCAATTTTGTGCTGCAAACTGTCAGCTATAAATCCCTACAGGTCTTGAAATGAATGTGATTAAAAGGGTGCCCAAACTTTTGTACATCCCATTTTTTACATTTTATTTTATTATAATAAAACTATGTAATGCTACTCTAAGAATTTTGGTCTGGAAAACACTCAAATGTCTACATCTCTGTAGGAAAACAAATCTTGTTGCTGTGATCTTCTCTTATAAAGGTAGAGCAAATTATCATGAAATCTCAGAGGGGTGCCCAAACTTTTGCATACCACTGTACATACAGTACACTGTAATGTTATGAGAGGTCACCAGGGCAGGCTAGGGTGGGGCAGTGCAATGAAACTGGAGAAACAGGTAAAATTGAAGGTTAAAAAAGATTCTTAAAAGATTACAAGTTAATCCCTTCAAGCAAAAAAAAAAATCCAAGTTTTAATTTAAAACATCCCAGAGGAGGAAAAAGGATTCTTTAAACTTCCAAAACATAAAATGTCCTTTTAACTGTGTCTTCTTCTCTTTTAAACAGTTAAATTAAAGTACTGCTACTCCCGAAGGTACTTGTTCTCCTCCAAGGCTCTTTTCCCAGCTTCTTCCAGCCGCCCGTTCTCTGTCCTTCTGCCTCCTTTGTTCTGCTTTTCTTCCACTTCTTCAGTCCTCCCTCTATTAGCTGGCTAAAGCACCAACACCTGTCTGAGTGGTGAGGAACTCCCGGAGATGTAGTGTGTGCCACAGCAACCATTTTGTAATGTGGCATCCAATCCTGATTGGGAAGGTAGCACCCATCTATTGCCTGCCCCCCCTTGTGATGCCACAATACACAGCACTGCTGCTGAAAGCCACTTTCTGTCATATCACACATCTTCCTCAGCAGATGGAGTTGTCATGGAAGTGCAGATGTTCTAATTTCAACTTGTGCACTTAATGTGCTTCACCATTCTCCATCTTCAATTGTCCAATCATAGCTTAGCAACAGGGACGGCAGGCTTATCAAGCTCTGGATTTCCCCACATTTGAAGCAGTGTGTATGGGAGATTCGGTACCACTTTATAATGAGTACACACTATTAAGCATTAGTTAAGCATGAATAAATAATGAATTCATCATTTATAACGCATGAATACACATTAGTATGTAGTTTATAAACACAGTTAAAAATGTTTTATTCATCATTGATAAGCACATTAGTTATGGATTAGTAAATACTGAATTCATCATTTATAAAGCATGATTCTGCTGTAAATAGTCATTACTATGTGGTTTATAATCACAGTTATAAATGTTTTACTCTTCATTGTGCTGTACATTTCTGCATGCACTTGCACATCCACTATTCAGACATGTATTAATGATTAGTGACTGTGTTAGCAGATGTTCTATAAAACTCACAACAAATTAATTTTCTAATGATGGCCTATAAACAGTTATTAATGCAGGAATTCACAGTTACAAAGCACTTACTACTCGTTAATTAAGTATTTTGCACGAGCTTATCTAAAGTGAGCACTATCTATGGCTTATTAAGGATTTACAAATGAGATATAAAGGCTGACAATGCCTCGAGACTCACAAAATGTTCAGTTATCTTATCAGACGAAGGAGAGACACAACACAAAGGGATATAGAACATATTGTATTGATATTTATTGCAACTTCCCAACATATTGTATGAAGACGAACAAGGGTGGTTTATGAACACATGCTATTGTTGTGATCTTATCTGTTTGGGACGTGTACGTTGAGCTCCCGCTCTTCACCGTGATGACGTGCTGAGAGCGGGATGTTACGTCATATTTACGTTAACTCTCAGAAGTTTCTGACAGTGCAGCCAAGGGGAGCATGGAGAAGCACATTGGAGTCGGCGGCAGTCAGCGGCACTAAAGGTGAGTATGTGTCTTTGTTTGGTAGCACACATTATGGTTGAAAGCTAACGTTAGCTTGTCAGCAGCTGCAGGTGTTTGCCCTCGCTCCCCGACTCACGTTACTAACGTTACTGACGTTACTAACGTTACCGACCCGCCCGCGGTGGCTAAGCCGACCTAGTCTAGTCTCGTCTAGCCGGGCGAGGTGAGTGCCTAGCAGCGGCAGGTCGGCTTAGCCACCGCGGGCGGGTCGGTAACGTTAGTAACGTCAGTAACGTTAGTAACGTGAGTCGGGGAGCGAGGGCAAACACCTGCAGCTGCTGACAAGCTAACGTTAGCTTTCAACCATAATGTGTGCTACCAAACAAAGACACATACTCACCTTTAGTGCCGCTGACTGCCGCCGACTCCAATGTGCTTCTCCATGCTCCCCTTGGCTGCACTGTCAGAAACTTCTGAGAGTTAACGTAAATATGACGTAACATCCCGCTCTCAGCACGTCATCACGGTGAAGAGCGGGAGCTCAACGTACACGTCCCAAACAGATAAGATCACAACAATAGCATGTGTTCATAAACCACCCTTGTTCGTCTTCATACAATATGTTGGGAAGTTGCAATAAATATCAATACAATATGTTCTATATCCCTTTGTGTTGTGTCTCTCCTTCGTCTGATAAGATAACTGAACATTTTGTGAGTCTCGAGGCATTGTCAGCCTTTATATCTCATTTGTAAATCCTTAATAAGCCATAGATAGTGCTCACTTTAGATAAGCTCGTGCAAAATACTTAATTAACGAGTAGTAAGTGCTTTGTAACTGTGAATTCCTGCATTAATAACTGTTTATAGGCCATCATTAGAAAATGAATTTGTTGTGAGTTTTATAGAACATCTGCTAACACAGTCACTAATCATTAATACATGTCTGAATAGTGGATGTGCAAGTGCATGCAGAAATGTACAGCACAATGAAGAGTAAAACATTTATAACTGTGATTATAAACCACATAGTAATGACTATTTACAGCAGAATCATGCTTTATAAATGATGAATTCAGTATTTACTAATCCATAACTAATGTGCTTATCAATGATGAATAAAACATTTTTAACTGTGTTTATAAACTACATACTAATGTGTATTCATGCGTTATAAATGATGAATTCATTATTTATTCATGCTTAACTAATGCTTAATAGTGTGTACTCATTATAAAGTGTTACCGGAGATTCTGTGTCTGTTTCCTTTCCAAAACCAAAAGAGTAAAAGTCTAAGAAATTGATTTCACAGTGTATTAGTGTGTTTGTCTCTAACCTTAGCTGCAAAGCTGGAGCTAGAACAATTAAGCAAATAACGCTAACAAGAGTCTCTCTGGGCTTACCTCATACTGGGTAATAAGGCCATTGGGCTCGACGGGCTCCTCCCACTTCAGGAAGATCATGTCATCCAGCGGGGTGAAGGTGAGCGACTCTGGTGCTATGCCTCCAGGAACTGTAAGAAATTGTCAGAACAAACATTTGTCTGGGAAATTGAAACACTAATCCCACAGTGAGCCTCTCCTGTCAATATGACAGAAACGAACATCACAGTGGCTCAGAACAATGCACCACATGAGACACTCAAGACAGCCAGAGAGTGGCAGGCAGATAAGAACACACTTAATTTATGAACTGCATCAATTATGTAACCACAACACAGACAAGAGAAAGAAAATATAAGAGGGATATTATAATTTCATATCAATCTTCAGTCAAAGTTGAAATATTGATGAATATGTCAGACGCCTGCTGGTAAACTTGTTTCTGAATGGCAGTGAGAGGACTGTGAATGCCCGAACATTCAATATTAGAACGTGTTAACCGTTTTTTGGGCCAATTGGTTGCAGCCCGAGTCCCCATGGTCTGTGTGAGTGCTGTACAGAGAAAGACTCTTATGTGAGATTCAGGCCTGAGGCTAAAGCAAGAGCCAAACAGCTGAGTCGGCTGTTATTTTTGAATTGAGTTAGTCTGGAGGACAGAGTTGCTTATTAAGGCTTTTGGAGAAAGCGTTCATAATTGACGTGTACTGTATATATACATATATTTATCTTTTAACACTTCAGAAACAAACCATTTCTCATGCCCTCTCATTCTCTCTTGATCTTTTTCTAACTATGTATATCGCTTTTTGAAAAATCTTGTTTGTTTTGATTTTTTCATGGCTGAATTGATTTCTCCCTCAGCCGCCATGCAGACGATGTGCTACGGCACAAAAGAATAATAGAAGATAAGAAATAAGCACAAAATCCTATCTCAGGGTTGCCGGAGTCTCAGATATAATGTTTTCTCTTTTATGTTATTTTCATCTGAAAATGAAAAGGATCTTTTGTAATGCTGATTTAGCCTCAGTCAGATGGTCACCTTTCTGTATTAATGTGTTAGAGGTAACAGAGGAGTGTTAGAAGTGTTAATGTTTTGAAATCTTAAGGAAATTCACCACATGTGAACCTAAACTGATTGATATATGAATTTGTATATTTTAACCACAGGTGGTGTACTCAATTTATGTTGAAAAACAGCTAACAACCATCAGAGCACAAGCCAAATGTCATAGCAAAGTTCTGGTTGTGGGCAGTCTCAGTTCTGGATAATCTCCTTTATGACGTTTATAATGAGAATAGATAAACAATTTGAGGTATTCTGGTAAATTTTTAGATGTCACACCCCTCCAAAACAGCTATCTAAAGTAATTCATGTGACCATAATTCAAGATATGACAATGATAACCCCCGGTGTATAAAAGGTTATGGAAGTAAAATGCACAAGAAGTTGGTTGGCGGCTGGGTCATTTTGCCAGACTCTTAACTGCATTTTTTTTAAACTGTCACCATTTAGTAGACATTGTATATAATATCATACTTTATCATTTACAATTTTATGTACAGTAATATCAGGCACATGTAATATGAAAGGATGTTTTTTACAAAATGAGTTAAAAAGGAATAGCAAAAACCAAACTGTTAGTAGATGTAAATACACTCAGTTACTAGTTTATCTGGTACATCTTGCTAATATTAATGCTGTCTAATACAACAGTCCTCCAATAAATCCCTTCATGAAGGTTATAAAGTCCATTTTTTGTTCAAACTGTTTTAGAGAGAGCTGTTGATTCAACTTTGTGTTCATTTTGGATGCTACAGATTATAGTGCTGTTAAATTGTATAATGTTATACTGACAGCTGTTTCTATTATTTTGCCCACCCCATTTATATTAATGAGGGTAAAAATAAAGAGAAACACCTCTCTGTATAATGCAATATATTTCAAAAGCACCACTAATACATCTCCCAAAAGTTTAATCAGCAGCTAACAGTACAACAGCTTCAGCAATCTTTATCTTTTACACCTTTAATGAAGGGAGGATTTATGTATTATTACACTGCATTAGGTTGCATTAGCGAAGTGTGCCTAATAAACTGGCAACTTATATGAACAGTCAGGTTATAATTCAGATGACACTTTTCATTTGTACTTTCTTGTCTATTTTCATACTCCTCCTTCTGAGACTTACTATCCTCCTCGGTCTGAAAGGTGACCTCTCTGCCCTCTTTCTTCCCTTCTGGGTTGGCCAGTGACAGACGGACATGGATGCCGTGGTAGGGTGGCAGATCACGCAGCGTGAATCGTGAGGCATTGTGTTCAACTGCCAGGCACTCGCGCACGGTGGTGTTGTGGCCTCCACCACCTCCCGCCGTGGTGTAGCGGTAGCACAGGGACACTGAGTACGTGTGGCAGCGTGTCAAGTTGAACGCCAAATTCTCCCACTGCAGGGACAACTGCCTGGACTGGATATCTGTGGCCACAAGGCCCCGCAATGCACGCATGGGCTCTGGAAGGCAGGAAGGAAGATTGAAGAAGAAAAAAACAACAGAAAATTAAATAATAAAGAAAGCAGTGACAAAACAACATTAGAAAAGTCCTGAAAGTACAATACTGAATTTTAGAAAATGAAAACACAGGTAACTTTGTTTTATTGTAAAAAATATTTAATTTCAGACAGAACATCCAGAAAAATGGCAATGTCACTGATGTCCCAGGACTACCTAGCAGTTTTTCACTTGTTCCCCTCCTACATGCCGCCATATTGCTCCGCCACAACGTGGAGGTCAACATTTTGCTGCCAGCACAACACACCCACAGCCCCCATGGCGGAGCAGGAACCCATGCCAATTGCGCTAATTAATCGGACAAGCTGCGGGTTGCTGTCACAGTCCCACCAGTCTCCGCCTCCGTGTTGCACAGCAAATTGACTATCCAGTAGTTATACTGCTTCGCCTTGAGGTTTAATCCGCACACAAAAAATCCCAGTATTATACAAGGGCATTCACTTCCACTGGTCACTTTTACTGCTGGGTCATTGCGATGGCCCATCACATATTTTTAGAAGGGACCGAGTTAATTCTGGTCACTGCCGGGTTAACCCTGACTTTTTCTGACTCAGAATAAAAGAACAACAGCTATGCCTTTGATATCCTCCTCCTCACATGTAATGGCTAGCTGAAAGATACAGAGAGCCTCTATACACAGAGGCACAGACCAGCCAGTGTTCAAGAGGACGTCTGAAACTGAAGAAAGGATGAGTTAAGCCAAGGACATCCTCCACATCAATGGAGGCATTTATCAGTGGCCATTATTAACACAATCAATGCCTTTTTATCCAGCAATATGCTACATAATGTATTGTATTGCTATGTTCTTTTAATAGGGCATGTTGAGTAATGGGCCAGGGAGGCAGGGAATGACAGCAGAGATATGGGGTACAGGGAGAGATCAGTGGAGTTTGAGGTTACTGGCCAAGGTCTTCATTCCTTCGCTGACTTGTACACTCAGTGGGATTCTCACTGCAGCACAGATTAGTGCAGGGAACTTAAATAAGGCAGCTAATGCATCACTGAGCAGGGGCTAATGCACTAAAACAAGAATCATCTAAGAAAATGGATTTGAAAGGTGCTCTGTAGTTGAACAAGGACACACTAACACACAGATATACACACATTTGCTGTAAAACTATTATTTTGCCCAATGTCTTTTTTATCTCTTCTCCTCTTCCTTCCTTCTTCCCTCTCCCTCAATTATACATATACACATGTGCAAACACACATAAATTAATATGTTAACATTATCAGATACAATAGCCCAATGTCCAGTCCCGTATGCACGTATTACTGCCTGTGGTAGAGCAATTCTTTTAGAGTGAAATTTTATGACACTTCCAATCTATACTGAAGGCCTCTGCAGTCACCAGCTTTCTCTTTTAATTTGCTGTCTGGCATCTCATACTAGATGGAAATATGACCAGAGCATTGATCTGAACCTTATCCAGACTAATGTGACGGCAGATAAATGGGTGGGCACAGTAATCGCAAAGTAGTAGACTGCACCCAGCACGAAATGTTAATGTTCCATTGTTCAGTGTGACTGAGGATTGTCTTAATGGTGCAATTGATAGTCTGCACAGTCTGAAAGCTAAATAAAGAGAGGCATTTAACTGCTGAGTTGATGAAAGTGCCGCCAAAGAGGCCACAGTGTGCTCATTGTGGGTTTTCTCAAAGTGGACATTTGTGCCAGCCCCTTCCCCTTGCCTCGTCTTATTTGTCTGTATGCCACGGGCACCCATTCTCTGGCATCCTGTGGCGTGAAAACTGCAGCCGCCCCAACATGGCCAAAAGCCCAGAGCACCATGTTGATCCTTGGAGATTGGAAGTTAGAGTGGATGTGACAGGTTCTGGTTTATTATCTCCCCTAAAACTGTGACATGGGACAGCAGCAGGACAGAACAGGGCTGCCTTAGATTGCATGCATCTGTGGAGGGGATCTGGACTGACTGTGTCAGACGGGAAAACCAAATTTATACAGACATGCACGCCTATACCCATGTGCAAGCGGAAACACAAGCACACATAAATCCAAACACCCCAAATGTGAACATATAGGGAATTCTGGCTCAGAATGGAAGACATGATGAACGACATGCCAAGGAAGGCAAAGTACTTGTGTGCCTAATGTGCCTAATTTTAGTCAGGCTCCAGTGTTGGCTCCCTCTAACAGACCAAGAGCATCATGGGCAGGGGCTTTCCAGAAGGTTCAGTGACCCAACAGCAGGTGGAAGCCCATTAACGTAGTTTGGGGACCACCTGCAGTACAAATGCTCGCCTCTCCTCTGTGATTTACTTGAGGGGCTTCAAGCTGTGCTAATGCACCGTGCTGATAATCACAGCAATGGCTCATCAAGCACACCTGGATGGCCATCAGAGCCAGGCGGAGTCCATGTTCACATTCACGGCCATTAGTTTTACAGCACCCGCACGAGGACAGCTCGGCTTGCGCGCTGATGTGTATGTGTACGGTGAAGCTGGCTAGCCAACATGTTTGGAAAGGAGGGGAATATTCAGCGTGACCACGGAAGAGTGAGATTAGTCACAGTGACAAGACACAGCTTCTGGAGAGGAAATTCACTTTCCTGCTAAATGCAGTGAGAGTCCAAGTATCCCTTCTGTTCGCTGCATAGTTACCACCTCCCTGAAATCCCCACAACAACCCCACCATCTATTTCCCCGTGCTTAAACCTAATCAGGCCAACAGCAAAAGGGGGAGATGAGGATTCAGCAGTGGAATGTGGAGGTCAGTAGGGGTGGTGTAGACCAGATGGTTTGGAGGTTGGGTCAGGGGAGCTCTGGGAACCAGGTGGTGATTAGAGTCTCCTGCAGGGTCAAGAAAGTGAAACACACCAGGCGGAGAAGGTTTCCATTGTTGAAGCTTACTGTAAAGTGTGTAACACATCAAAACAGCCAGGTAAGAGCTGTGAAGACTGATCAAACCACACAGGAGTCAATCAGCTGCACCTCAAAAAACTATTTCAACCATCAGTCACTCACAGATTTGCAGCAACCTAAGGACAGACTGGCAATATAAATTTCACCTATACTTCCTCTGTATTGAACTAGTACTGCATCTAAATGCCCTGTTTAACAGCTCAGCAAACACAGCAGTATTACTTATCCCACACATGGTTGAACAAGCTAATGTCACAGTGGTTGAAATGTAAATACATCATTAAAGGCTGAGTTTAGTGACTTTCACAAACACCGATACCAGCAACTGTGAAAGCAATTTCCGTACGCTGTGAATCCTCTCTCGCTTCACCTCTCGCACATTCACTTTCCTCATTTTTACTGTTTCACTCTCTCACTTTGAAAAACTACCCTCTTTCCCACACACATACTCCCACAACATAGCCTTCCCTCCGTTCTTTCCTCTCTTGCTATCGACTTTTTTTTTTTAACTTTTTTATTGTGAATTTTTGGTGTCTCTTGCGTTGGGGCGGGGTGTGTGTGTGAATTGGGGAGGGAGGGCTGCAAGCTCACTCATGGTGTCTGATGAATGAGGGGTGTCTTTGGCTGTTGGGAGAGGAGAGTAGCTTTAATATGTCATTGGAGAGGGGACCAGGGAGGCTCTACTGGAGCAGGGTAGGGAGATATGTGAGGGATGGTGTGTGGCAGGAAGAGACCGTTGGGCATAGAAAAGAGTGATGACCATGGAAGACACAAATCCACAGACTGCCTTTGGGTAACACAAAGCTCTCCATATCGTGTGCCTGTGAGTGCTGTGCACACATTGCAGATGCAGGCAGTAATGAATGCCTACATCTCTGTGGGTACATCTGCATCAACACAGTACCCTTTGTGCTATATATGTGTACATATATTTAAAAGTAAGCATGGGTGTGGCCCACTGGCTCCCTGGGTGTTCTGTGTCTGCAAAGTGACAGATGACAGAGGGGTGCACACATGTGAAGGAAAACCTTCACCTGAATGAAAAATAATTAATATTTAAATCTGCATTTTACTGGAAAGTTAGCTGTTGCTGAATGAGTAGAAAAGACCAACAAAGAGCAAGACCAAGAGGAAGCAGAAAGCAAGATAACGGAGCTAAAAACAACTTTTTTGACATATGCTGAGCTGCTAAAAATTAATCAGAAACTATTTTGATAATTTATTAATTTTATATTTTTTCAAGCCAAAAATGCCAAATATCTGCTGGGTGTCAGATGTGAGGACTTGTGCTTTGCTTAGTCATGAACCTGTTTTGGACTGTGCATAGAATAAGCAATTTGAAGGTGTTAAGTTGGAATTTATAATTTTGACTTAGAATTATTTATAGACAAAACAATTAATAGCTTAATATAAAATGTACTTTGCAGATTAATGACAATGATTATTATTGCGGCCATACAAAAGTATCATAAATATGTGATGTCCATGGTACTGGATGTCCCTCATTGTTTCTTTTTAGCCATTATTTTAAAACCACATTACATATCTGTGTCTCCACCACTGTCACCTGTAAATTCTGGTCCATTTATTTGTACTCGCTACATAAAATTTCTCTCTTCTTCAGTAGATACCAAAGAAGCCGGCTTTAGGCTAGCTATTGTAGTCAGCCAGCTGTTATCTTTTAAATAACCGTCAAACCAATACTGCCATGCTGGCAGCAAGAAAGTCCCCCTCTCAGTCTCCTCAGCTCCAGAGTTCAGAGAACATCAGTGATAGCAAATGTGCCTTTTCTCATGAGATAAGTGTATGCAGCGACTGAGTTAGAACTTGTCTATCAGCTCCCCTCTGATTTAATTTTAGCAGATTATCGTGACAGATGTGGTCCCACAATGTACAACTCTCTGAAGTTATGGTTTGCAGCTGTTGGGCATCAGTGCTTTGAGCAGTGGATCTTTCATTGACTAAAAAGAAGACATATCGAAGAGTATTATTTCAATCTAGATTGAATGTACGTGCAATTTAGAGAATCACAGAGCACCATCCCGGCACAGGCTGCATTGAAGACGCTGCAGCCCCACCCTTGTGGTTTCTACCGAACCACCAGGTGCTCAAAGCACTGTATTCCCTTATTCAATGCTCTGGGGCACTGACTCACCTAAATATCGCACACTGTGATTCCCCTGAGGACTACACATTGCATAATGGGTCCTTTCCGAGGATTGTCTCTGCCCAATAACAAATAAATAAATAGAGACACACACAAAACCCCCAAACAGGAATAGTGTGAATAGACCGTTGTAGCCTGTTATCTCTGCAAACATGACAACATACTACAAGATTCAGATATAGCTACAAATTCTACAAGGTAAACAATAGTCCATAATTCAGTTTGAAACAAATAACATACGGATAAAAGCTGGGTGGTGGGTGGTTTGTTTCCTGTGTGCAATGCAGCTATTAGCCAGTGAATAGCAGAAGCAACAGCACCTTCATGTTTGGAGTCAGGTGTTAAAAACAACACTGCTCTGCTATATGAATGAGTTAAGAATGTTAGAATTAAAGCAATCTGAGTAGGAAAAATCACGCTTTAGTCAAACTGATCATAACTCACGTATACACTAAGACCATAACCTGTTACAACAATGTTTAATTTCAAGGGGTCACAAGCCAAAAGGGTTGGGAACAACTATGTTTCAACATTAGGTGACTACACAGCTAATGTTGAAATAGAAATTAAGTATTGAATCTTGAATCTACACCCAGTTGTGCAGTGTGTAAGCCTCACCTGCACACTTGGTCCTGCTCACAAGAGGCGGTCCAGGAGGGCCAGTTCCTCCCTCTCCAGGCCGAGTCAATAGCACACTGATGTGGTACTCTGTGTCTGGATCCAGGTGCCACAGCTTATAGGTGACCATGTTGACTCCATGCACCTCTGACCACGGAGACTGGCTGGCACGATACTCAATCTCCTTTCTGATAATGGGGCCATCTCCCAGGATAGAGTTGGTGTTGAGCTGGATGATCAGGTAAGTGGAGCCGGCACGCAGCAGCTGGGGTGGCGCAATGGGGGATGGAGGTACTGTGAAAGGAAATGAAAAGTGGTGTTTTTCCTTTTCCTGTTCAAACATGTTTGTATTGGTAAAAGCATTTGCTGGTGGGCCCATGGCACTGCTGCACAGTCTAAGGAGGTAAAGTTTTGGTATTCCTTTTAGCAATCAGCTGTATATAAACAGATTTCTCATTATATTAAGCCCACTGAGTCTTAAATGAGTCCCTAGAGACTGAGAATGTGAGCAGGTCAGACTGCGTTCAAATAGCAGATTAGTCATAGCTATTAACAAGACATTCAGAGCCTTGCATACATTGGAGCAAAGAAGTGAGTGAAAAAACAGCTGTGCATGCAGTGCATTGAATGTGTATGATCTTTGTAACTGAAGGATTAAGTGCTGTACATCTTTTTCTGTAACTGACTGGTCCCCATGATGAAAGAGGAAACTCTGCATCACTGTCGGTAAAGATTGCCAAACCAAGGATTAATTCCAGAGCCCCAACGGTCAAATGTCACTTTCTGGCAGATCCAAACGACTGAACAATTACACGGGCAACAGTGTGAGGGAGTGAAGGGAATGCAAAAGAAATGAGGACAAAGCATGAGAAAAGATCAGAGTTAGATCTGTGGCTGTGACTAATCCTTCATTCCCACAGAGGCGCCTCTGTCTTTTATGGCCCTCCTCTCTGTGGGCTTTCAACAATACCAGTACCTCACCTCTACTCTGTGCTGCTTCCCTTTGCCTTGACTTAGCCTGCCAGCAGCTCATCGTTGGGCTGTCAGGGACTGCATCCATAATGAAAGGCCATATTTTGGCCACAGGAGAGAAGCCATTGGGGCCAAATTTATAACAATTCACTCAATTCTTTCACAGTTAAAGTTCACGACTCTACAGTTCTTTCTGTTCATTTATTTTGTTTATGTTACAATAAATTTTTTCTCTGTATATTATTAGCTCTTTTTTTTTCACTGTTCCCCTCTGTGCAGAGCTATTCTTAGACTGAATGTTGCTCTCAGTGCTACTTTCTGTTTAATTAAGGATTGCGCTGTACTGAGATCTATACTTTAATATGCTGCAAATCCCTAATAAACACGTCTTCAAATGTGCTCAGGATCAAAATACAACAACTTTGAGGCCACAACAAAAGAGACATACAGTGGCTTAAGGAGGAAGATGAAAATGTTTTATTCATTATGTGGACATATTGCTGTCCTCTATGGGGCAATAACAGAGCTTCATCATGATTCCTGCATGCAATCTACATTCTAGAAATGAGTGGATCCAACTCATTAAGGGGATGATTAGGCTCTTCTTAGCAGAGCAGTGGGGGGAAAGGGGATTTATGAAAGTCTCGTTAAGGACTCGGTCTTAGCCCCTGTGAAATAAATTATAGAGTTACAGCCAGTTGACATGAACATGACTTACAGCCGGCCATCACATCTACTCCTTACGCAGAATGAGCTGTGCCAAAAATAACCTCTTTGTCCTGATTATATATAAAAAAAGGAAAGCAACAACCACATGAATACAATGATATTTATTTGCTGAAAGTGCGAGCACACTAAATGGGATTTCATGGCCATCTATGAGCGCATTTACCGACTCCTCATTTACTGGCAGCTGCTGGTGAGAGGGTTTAGTAACATTTTGGCAAAATGGCTCCATTTTGTACTATAGCAATCGGCCTGAATCACAATACTAAACTGAATACACGCTTCTGTATCAATCAAAGGGATTTACTTCATGCTTAAGAGTCTACTGCCATGCTAGTACACAGTGATAAAATACCAGCATCAGCATGGTAACATTCACAATCACAGCGGTAACTTGATGCTAAGCAGGTGTAATGTTCACCATCTTAGTTTAGCATGCTAAAATGCCAACATTTGCTAGTTAGTACTAAACATGAAGTGCAACTGAGGCTCATGGGAACGTAATGAGTGTTGCTGGTATTCAATCATGAACCAAAGTAGTGGACACACAGAGAATTTATACCTGATGATGGTGCTAAAGGAAAAGGTTAATTCATCCTGAGGGAACATGAATGTCTGTACTGATTCATGGCAATCTATCCAAAAGCAGTTGAGACATTTCACAAATATGTGAATGTCAACCTGTTAGTGGCACTAAAGGAAAGTTGAGGGATCACCAAAGCCATTAGGACACATCTTCTGGGGACCCTGAATGTTTGTATTCATTTTCATTGCAATCCATCCAACAGTTGAGCTTTATTAGTCTGGACCAAAGAGATGGACAGACTGATGTTGTCACACACATAGTCATGCGTAGGGTGGCCATTCGTCCGGCTTTAGGCCGGACAGTCCGGTTTTTAAATGCCCTGTCTGGCTGCAGGCGCAGCCTTAAGCCGGACACTCGTTTGTCCTCCTTTTAAGAAAACAACTAAAAAGGTCGCCTTTTGACACATTACCTCGTAAGTTTAATACTTATTGGCTAAAAATGTGTGTCAAAATAAGTAATTTCATTGGTTACATTTTCGTGTGGTGACCTATCAACACATGGCTAATTTAATATTCAAATGAGCCATGTGTTGATTGCCACATGATCACTGCAGTTACTAAGTTACCACCAGTCTGTCAATCAAGCTCTCAGACAGAGAACGTAAAGTGAGCTAATGTTGGTTGTTGGACTGAAATTCTGAAAATGCTCATACTCATATGTAGATAGGCAAAGCCCTTTATCCCCAGATAAAAACGTTAAGAACAGTTTCTGTATGATGTTTATTAGACCAATGTAATCTGAATTGGAAGGGCACGTTGTCATGAGCTGTATCTTGTATATTTATTATTAGCTATGTGGTATGTGTATGCACCTTTATGTAATCTGGTGGAAAAACATATTAAAATTTAAAAACGGATCATACCAAACAAATATCTGCTTGCGTGTCCCTGTGTATGCAAAGTGTCCTCCTTTTTGATGTGAAGGAAATGGCCACCCTAGTCATGCAGCTAGCATAGCTAAAAACATGTTTTGCTTTCTCTCCAACTTTCTTGCATGAGTCAGTTTTAAAAAAAAATTAATAACAGCAAGAGCACACAGTATAGGACAAGGAGATTGGGAACCTTTCACATCCTTTTTTTCTCTCCTCATCTTCGCTTTGCTGAGGGCTGGAGTTTGTTATGCCATCAAACCATCCCACAGCCATGTCATTACTATGCTGTCAAAGTGGTGTCAGGCTGTGGGGTTGGAGTGAGTAATGGGAGTGAGGTCACCATCTGTGGTACATGATATGACAGGGGCTGCAGGAGTCCAAGTCAAGTGAACAGCTTTTTGACAGAGAGCTGAAGAGCTGAGTACGGCAGCCTATTTGACAACTCCAGCTGAACAACACGTCAGGGAGATTTCATTTGCCATCCAAAGAGCTTTTATGTGTGTTGAGCACCATACGATCTGTGATTAAGGAATTTAATTTGAAATAGGTGTCCATGCTTTCCACCATTATGCACAAATGATGTTCTATGGCTAATGTGAAATATGTTCACAGTAGTGGCTATCACTTGCTTGTCGAGATCAATTTCATTTTCGAATCTCATTTGAATCACATGTAGTAATCTACTGCGAACAAGAAGAGCAGAAAATTATTTTATCACAAAAACAGCAGGAAAACTGATTGTTGGGATGAAAGAAACACAAGTGGGAGAAAGACCAAAAGAGAACAATAAGAGACTGAAGGAAAGAGAGTGTTTACCTTTGACGACAAGTTCAGCAAAGTTTGAGACCCCGGAGCCCCTCGGGGACTGAGTGACACAGCGGTAAAGGTCTTGATCTGTTCGCTGGACGCTGTCTAGCTGGAAGGATACCACAAAGCGCCGGTGACTCAAGTGCTTGACAGACGCTGTTGTTAAAATGTCCCCATTGTGTCTCTGGAAAGCAGGAAAGGACAGGGTCAGAGAAAACAGGATGGGTCATCTTGTCTTTCCCTTTCTCTCTTTCACACACACACACACACACACAAAAGTACATGTCATCTCATACAGTGTATCATGTGCAACAGCTACACACAGACTGGCTATTTATACACATATCTTGACTGTTACTGTGGCCGCTAGTATGAGTCACCCACCATAACCCTGGATCCTACACTTCCCATAATGCAACTCCATATTGTCTCTTCATTAGACCCTTCCTGCCTGATAGACGCCTACATCTTTCAAACTCTATGACCCCCGTGTGTAACACAGGCCTCTGCAGCCAAAGAAGACATTATACAACTGTTTTCACAGGCTGAGCAGCACTCAACATTTGTAGTAAACTGACCTTTACTGTATGTGTAAAATAAGTCGAGTGCCCTATGAGCAGCCCCCTTTTGAAATGTGACTGTAATCATTAACTAAAACAGTTTCTTGTCGAATATTTATTATTAAAAGAGACATGTAGACATTTAAAACCTGCCTGGTAAAACCTTCTGGATAAATTTGCACAAAAAAAAGATTTATACTAATAGACTGGATCTCTATGTTCTTTGTTAGAGTGAATGCTTGGATAAAATGGATTTAGCCAAAGTACACAGTATTTTTTTCCACAAGCCTAGTCCCCAGAATATGTGTATGAGTAATTGTGTTTTATACTATGGTGAATATCTGTACATAGTCTGTTGAAAAATTTATTTGTATTGTTCCAAGGTTAGGATAGGTAAAGTAAATGTATGCTATTCATTTATTTCCATTTTTATATTTTGCATTCCTTTTCTTTTTTCCTTCCTTCCTTTCCTGCTTTTATACTGTCTTTATTAGATTAGTTATATTACTTTTATTTAAAGTAGTCCTATATGTTGTATATATTGATGTATTTTTTATTAAAAACATCCAGGTGCACACACCATCCAAGATTCCCCGTTAACACACACAAACACTCATTACCTATTACCTACTGTAGACCTTGTACGCAGTTATTGCCCAGTGAACTCATGGGACACTAAGCTAATAATGTAACAAAACACACTTAAACTATTGCTATCTGGGTCAGTTCTTATTAGAGCTGTGTGATTAAAAACGAGGATTGTCCAATTGTGTGCAATTTAATTAGAATGGCAGGACCATCTCTCTGATTTAATCACGCAATATGACAATCAGACATGCTTTAATAAAAACAAATGAAATCTTGTTAAAATAATTGTGATTATGGGGGTAATACATGTCATGAGAGTTGTCCCTTAATGGAGGCCATCTACAACCTCAGTCATCCTCGGTGTGCGATGTTACTGAACCAAAACATTTAACTGCTCAGCAGTTAGAATTGGGAGGCAGATGGGCTTTAATGCATTGAGGTTTAATCAGTTTAGTAAATAGGCTAAAGGATGAATAGCAGCATGCAGACTCTGTGCTTTGGTGTAAAACTAGAAAAAAAAGAAATAAGCAGTAGAAATGGCTGTGAGACAGCTGCTTGTTTTAGTGAAAAGCAGGGCTTCTCAGCGCAGAATCAGAACATAAACAAAAGTGAGTTGGGGCAGAAAGTGAGAAACAGAGTAACAGAGCAGTAACACACAGGGAGAGAGTGTGATTCAAATGAATGTTGTATGATGGACCTTGTTGCACCATGAGAGGCATTTCACACATTGTTCCACACCATTAAAACCACTAGGATCCGTCAAGTCCATGTAAACTCAACAAAACACATTGAATCTGACATTTTTTCTCATGTTTTCAGGCCATTCTCTTTGTGTGAAATGGTCGACATGAATCTTGATACTCATACTTTTGATCTGCCAGCTTTAAGAGAATCCAAAGCATGTGAGCATGCTGGGATAAACAAGGAGTCCTTCGGGTTATGCTAGGCCATCTCGGCTTCTGTTGTACTTCTGATTTCGGCCTTCAGAAACCCACAGACCACACAAACCTCAGGCCGAGCCTTCACAAACAAACTCATAAACATACCCCCGCTGATTAGGGTTAAGCAGGCAACAAATCTTGTGAGCGCAATGAAAGAAAAAAAAAACATCTCAATCGCATCCTCCCTGCATCTTTTCACGATACTTAGCATGTGGATTAGAGAAATGGCAAATCAGGATAAATGAAATAAGCATGAGATCACCCTTGTGTTACATAAACAATCTGGCTATAGCTAATTGGTGAGGAAACGAAAGAACGATCTGTTAATCTGCCAGGCATGTGCAGTCAAGAATGTGCTGCAGCTGGTACAGCAGACACAATGAACACAAAAGGGCACAACAACAGAAAACAGCAGTGATATGAGTTCATATGGAGAAAACAGCTCAGAAATCCATGTGTGAAGCAGACACAGCAGACAGAAAGATGGTGAAGAGGACAGCAAAAAGGTAGAGAGACAGGATAAAGAGCATTCCAGTGGCCTGGAGATCTCATTAAAGCAGACGCTTGTATGGTTATGCCAGCTAATTACCCACAGCATTTGTCTTCATCCTTGTGTAGTGACCAAATGGGTGGTTTGATAAAGCATTCAGAGAGGTGGGAATGACAACGCGTCAATTACATAAATCACACATCTCCCAGTGTCAGACAATACAGTAGGTTTGCCTGAGGTCAACCATGACTAACACTAGCTGTAGTGGGGGGTAAGATGTTAGGATAAGTAGTGAATGTGTGGCTGCACAGTAATTGCAGTGTGAGGCAGAAAAAATGGAGCCCTACAGCACGACGACGTTTGGCACTTTAATCATGGCTACATAAAGAGGAGGATTTTCAAAACAGAGAATTGTTTCCACCAAAGGTAAGGACTGTGTGGCTCACCTGACCTTCACAGAGCAAGCCATTCTAGATGAAACAACAGATATCTAAAGCACAGAACATGAGCTGAATAAAAACAAGAGGCAGTGAAGAAAGCGAAGAACACTATGATCCTATAAGCAATGTTACTTTTCAAAGGCAGTGAAGTGAGGACTCCAATGGCCTTCACAGCATTAGAACTTTGTATACAATCTTCATTTAACCACAAACATGTCTGGGAAACATAATGATTTAAAAAAAAAAAAACTTAAGTTCAGTTACAGGTTGTGACTTGGAATTAAGAGTTTACACATCGGTGTCTCATTATCTGTCCATGAAACTGAAGTACCTCTAAAATACTGAGGATTCAGTCAAGTGTGAAAAGTACCAAAAGCAGCTTTCCATTTGCACTGTTGACTGTTCTGGAGGTAAAAATACAGAAAAACTCTAAGTCAGACACACAGGTTCCTTTAGCAATAAACTCCACCATTAAACCGCTGACCTCCAGCAGGAACCGCTCAGCCTCTGACGCCCTTCCAGCAGCAACACACTGGAAAGTTGCATTTTGCCCAGCATTGACCTCCTCATCTCCTAGCCTGGAGAAGTGTGGCGCCTTATCTAAAAAGACAGACAGAGAGAGAAACACAGTGAGATCAAACGACTCCATTACCTTTCAGCCATTCACAATGTCAGTCAGCTACAGGAGGCAAATTTTAATCAATGCTCTTTTTTGTTTTTTCAAATACATAAACAGGAATTTCAGGAATTTCTGCGTAAGAGAACTACTTTTGGCCAATGTTTGTTCATAATTCATTTCTATATCACAGACATTTAGGAACATAAAGCAGTAACAGATCAGTTGAAAGAAGCAGCAATAAACTTGAGTGCCGATTTTCTAAACCCATTTTCACTGTGCTTGGTTTGGGCTATATTAATGCATAACTTAATATAAAAATTATTGCTCATAGGAGTTTGCAGAAATTAACTTGTATAATAATATATAAATGCAGTTGTGGGAATAACACATGCAAAAAAAGCAATACAAAATAAAATAGTTCATAAAAGTTTCTGTTTCTTTTGATTCTTTGAGCTTTTTTCCGTGTGTTTGTTCATTTGTGTTGACAGTGGAGGGTAGACATTGCCTATTGCAATACTTGCAATACTGGGTATGTACTGTAAGTGCACTTTCAACGTTGGAATAAAAAAAAAAAGCTATTATCAGACAAAAATTGTGTATTAGTGTTTAAATGTATGTGTTGAAAGGGGTCACTCAGTGTCCATTACCAAACAACTTGTTAACAAACAGAGTGCAATCAATAGATGAGTATAATGTGGGAGTGAATCTGTAGAAGAAAAGCCACGAAGTAACCATCAGCCCTCCACATTTTGACTAATATTGTCCCAGCATGCTATGCGGATCTGCCAATGAGTCAGTGTGTGGGAGTAGCCCTCTCACCCAACTCCGTGATTAACAATAGAGCAATGAAAACCAGACCCCTGCAGAGCCAAATCACTGGGTAAACGCCGGGAGCATCTCTGAGAAATTGGGTAGGACAAGTCGACATGTCACTCTGGATGATTGACAGGAAGAGATGGCAGAACAACAGTGAAGCTGAAACATCAGGGAGAAGCAAATGTTTGGGTCTCACACATCTCCTGCTTGCTTTTGCACAACACTGTCTTGCCATCTAGCAGAGGGGGGGATGACAATTTGTTGATCTTGTTTGTGTACAGTAAGAAGTAAGGAGAGAGTGCTCGCATCTGTACCCCACAGGTGGCCATGTTTCCTTTGAGTGACTCTCCCTCCTAAGGTTAATTCATAATTCATGCCTGAGAGCCAAACATAAACAAACACCAAAATGAGTATCAATGGGGGAAAAAAAAACCTTACAGTTGTCAAGAACTGTGGTGTTATACAGCTAAATGTGTCAGATTTTATCCTCAGGACTCTTTAGCGTGATAAATATTTCATTGGAGTGAAACACTGGTTTCAGAGTCAAAGACTGAGGCTCAGGAGAATAAAACAGAAATGTCAACTATGCTTTATCCAGAATTTACAAAAAGGAACTTGTTGAGCTATTTTATTTCACTTTTTACTATGCGACACTTCCCTTTGATTTTTCACTCCTTCTTTCCTCGCGCTGTTTGCTGCCAAGTAATGCAGGCTGGCCATGTGCCACATCATAAGGCATGCTCAGGTCTTGATGAGAGTCTTAATTATTTAATGGTCACAGTGGGAGCATTCAGAAGATGCCATCTGCTGTCTGGGGGAGAAACAGGGTGGCTGACTGGGTGGTATGCATACAGTAGGGGTAGGAACCAACTCTCAGCCTGTGTTTGTTTAATAAAATCACTTGTAACATGGCATGCCTGAAAAAGTCCATCTTCAAAAATGATAACAAAAGCGGATATATAAATATTAACAGGGACATAACACAGAATCCCAACGAGAGAAAAATATCCTTCAAGTGTCAGTTATATAAGTCACTTAAAACACTGTGGACCATGAGTGTTAAATGTGCTCTGAGCCTTTATGGTCAGCAGTGGGCTGCACAGGGAGTGTGCAAGTGACACTGAGAGACTTTGTCCAGGTACTAAACTCAGGGGGCTTAGTGAATATGTTTTACACAAGGTCCTCAGGCACTGACAACACACTGAACCCCACACCCCTACCACTTACACAAAAAGCCCTCCACTGCAGGGAGCCACTGGTTACAAAAGAAACCCACCCTGAACAGAAGACATCTTGATAAAGCTCTGAAATGTAGCACAAAAAAAAACCCTTTTGTACAAAGTGACTTACGACAAAAAGCTACGACACACAGTTAGGTCAGAGAACATGAAAGTGTGGAAGTCTTCAGAGAGAGAACGCTAGATTTCACTGATTAACAAATACATTTGGTTGTCAAACAAGGCCAGAGGCAGAACAGCAGGTGTGTTTTGAGGTGGAAGGGAGTATTGGCATTTGGGTGTCACAGTGTTTTAATAGCACTGCTGTTGCCGCAGGATGCCTCAGGACAACCTGCAGTACAACTTGCAGTACTAATATAAAAGGTCGATCAGCCATTACTCTTCCCCTCATCCTATTTATGTTTCATGCTGCTTTGAAATACATTTCACCCCCCAAACCACTAAACCTTTTTTCCTCCAATACACTCTGTAATTGCAATTCATTGTCAGAAGTGGCACTTACAGCAGGGATAGTTGAGCACCATGATGTCATCTATGGCAATGTAGCCTCGCCGCTCCCTGGAAACTGTTGCCTCAATCAGGACCTGCAAAAGTGAAGTGAACGTGAATACATAATGAACAGACTGAATTCATAACCAGAGCAGCTAAAGCATACACTTGTGACTAACCTAATGCTCTCAAAGCTGAAGTGTAAGTGCAATTTTCTAAAGAACACTGAGGGCTGTGTGAATTCTACTGCTTCTGTCCCCTTTCGGTGACAGAAGCATTAATTACAAACAACCCCATCACCACATCGTTGCACATCTGCTGACCCAAAACAAAAAGCTAGACAATGAGAGAAATAAGAGGAAGACAGAAGCATAAAAATAGAGAGATGGATACGTTTTTTCCTCAGTCCGCAGGGCCAAGAGAAATAATAGCTTTATCAGGAAGCACACAATGTGGCGCCTGAGTCATGAGCCCCATTCTACATTCAGGGCGCAAGCTGCTGTGAAGCCATAACAGCAGATAATACAGCTTGCACAGGGCCACGAGACTCAAGGGAGGACAAAGCTCCATACCGTCGTATGGAACAATAAGCTGGATGAGCAGTGGGTTCTCATGAAACCTAATCAATATCAAATCACCATCCTCAGTAATAGTGAGAGAGTTATGAGACACAGGGGTGATGTTTGTTTTTGCAGCACCAAGGACAGTCTTCCATCCACACGTTTGATCGAAGGCCAGCTTTGAGTTATTGTTTCTCATAATCCTCTGACCAAATGATTACAACATGGTTCCTATCACTGGCTCTTGATTTTTACCGAGGCCGCCACACACTCACATTCACACACACACTCTCAAGCTATCCTATATTCTCCAAGCTACTTTAAATGTGTGTGTCTGATGTCTGTGTTTACACGTAGGCGTCGCTGAAATGGGTTATGCAAGATTGGAGCTCATTCTTTTCAGAGTCAGAGAGCTGAATTAGGACAGGTTGAGCGACATCTCTTAGCCTTCCTCTGCAGATGGAGTATTTTATTATGTTTTCAAGGAAGGAGGAAAACCTTCAGATGCGGTTGAAAGCTTTTAAGTGGAAGTTGAGTTACTTTATATCTAACTTTGAGAACTATACATCAAGACAGGTTATACTGTAGTGCCATCTTACTATCAATTTTCTGAGTTGTATACCAACAGAACCGGGTATTTGAAGATTCTATATATCGATGCCAATGTGATGAGTCTCTGTGCAGGTACAAAAACAAGACTTGTTTCTTTGAACATGGAAGTTCATTCTTGAGGTTGGAGACACTTGTTTAACAAAAAAAAGGAAAGGTCCACTAATGAACTTATCCAAAGATGTCAACTACATCTCATGGTCTGCTTCAGTGAATGGAGGTTTTTATTATGTTATCAAGGAAGGAGGAAAACCTTTGGATGCGGTTGAAAGCTTTTAAGTGGAAGTTTACTCATTTTGATGTCAACAACATGTCATGGTCTGCTTCAGTGTATGGAGTTTTCTTATTATCTTTCATGTGATGATGATGTGGTTAAAAAAATCTGTAAAAAAGATAGTAAGTGGGTATTGATTAGAAGATTAGAAGAAGATACTTTTTTTTGGCGATTTAAGCTAAGGTCTTCCTCAGAGTTCAAAACATAATACAAAACTATTTTAATGCTGGAAAAAATATGGGGCAAAAACCCTTGAGATGTGGGTGAAAGCTCAGGAAAAAGCTAGAAAGGATAGGATAGGATAGGATTTTTCACAAAATAAGGCACACTTCTCAAATGCAAGTTTAACAATCTGACCAGATGCTCAATGACAATGTTTGGTATTAAACTTAAAATAAAAAAGAATTGTGCTTAAGACACATTTCACACAAAAAGTAGGAGGGCCAGACCAACAGGACACCCAGATATCGTCACCACCACAATCCGCTTGTGTTTGCACACCCAATTTAAGAGTCACAACAACATCTCCAAGACCTCTGGCCCAAACTCCAGCCTTCCACAGTCAGCAGGACAGAGATAGTCCACCCTCCTGGACTTTGAAAGGAAGATGTGTGATTACAGCAACAATTGGTGTGACAACAACCCTGGCCATGCACGACCCCTAAAGGCCCCTTCGCCGACACATCATGATGGGATGTGAGGAGATTGGGGTTAGCTAAAAAACCCTGACTGGATGAGACACATAAAGCCAGGTGTGCGGAGAGAAAAGAGGGGAGGCTAGAAGCTGACAGAAGGAGAGGTGAAGTGGAGAGGAGAGGTGAAAGAGAAAGCAGGAGGAAAGGTCCTGGCTGCTGGGTCTAAGTATTGGAGAGTGACCCTGCTCTGGCTATAGCTGGCTGCTCTCCTCTAGCTCAAGGGGGAACACTGAGGCTAATCTCCTTCTGCCAGAGTCAATTTTCCTGTTTGTTCCCAGACACTGCTGGAACCAGAGCTGGAAGATGCCACCGCTTTTAAAAAAGGATATTAACATTTCCTGTTTCCATCATCCCCCCACCCCCATTTTAGGTGGTCTATTTTCTTTAGAGCCTGTGCAGGATCCCTTTCCTCTCATTTCATTCTTTCTGTCTTTCAATTTGTCATTGTCTTTCTTAATTTCTTTTGCTGTCCATCTTTTTCTGTTGCCGCCTTCTTTCCTTACCTCATATTGTGCACCTGCATAAACATACAACATTCACAGCAATAATTAAAGCACAGTATCCTTCGATATTTTGACCTGAATTAGCTGCCATGTCGTTAGGCCAACAACAAAATTAGGCAGAAAACACTGCTTAAGCTCAATGGTATACAATGATGAGAAAAAAACCTCTGGAAAGTCTAATTGAAGGTGTTATTACTCTCTGCTGAGCTAAAGCACTCAATAAGAGATTGATTACTGGTTAATCCTCAGTCTTCTTAGCCATTAGGATAGGAGGTTATTAAGAAGGAGACAGTCAGAGCATTTGTTTCAATAAACAACCTTCCCCAATTTTTATTGAAAGCCACTTTCCCAATGAAACTTCTCCATATGCCTGAACTTTATTGTAATGAATGGCTACTTGACTTCCAAAAGATAAAAATCCTAGAATCATTGTCTGAATAAAAAAATAAAAGTGTGACACGCAGTGATTTATGACTGATATAAAATGCACATTAGGAGTACATATTACATTACCCTGTAATATTGGCTTTTAGAAGCAATTGTAATGTATACAAATCAAGAGACGATTTATCTGGCCCTGTAAACCAGATTCTACCTTTTCCACTCCAGTCAGGAGAAACCATTAGAACCTGAGGGCTTTCACTCACCATTAGACGCAGTCATAGATAAATAACTCCTTAAATATTCACAGACAAAAGGTCACGTGCTGAAGTAAATCTGTTCAGGTGGAAAATGCCAAAGGATAACAGTCTGTGTCTGAGAATATGGTGTAAGTGTAAGGAATCTCAATTTGCACTCTACAGTATCTTACAAATCCTTTTCCATCACCATAGGCTCAGCTTGCAGGACTCTCAGCAGGCTGCAATGGGGAAAATAGGAGATGTTATCAGGCAAAGCTGAGACATGAGGATTCTCATTTAGTCTTTGATGTGCCTCCCACTCTCTAACTTGCTCCCTTTTTTCTAAAGAATACTAAGTAAACAAGATGGAATCATGGGAAACGTTAATGTGGGCTAGTTTGGTTATGAGGTCAAGCTGAACAGACTAGATGTGAACAGAATGTTTGTTTTTCTGCAGGAAATTTAAGTTCATCATGTTAAAGTTAATGTCATGCATTTAGTTAGGAACTGGTAAGCACAGCCTAGCTTAGCATAAAGACTAAAAGCAGCTAAAAACACAGCTAGTATGGCATAAAAGCACCTCAAATCTTCACTCATTAACTTGTTTATACAAAATACTACAATACTAGCAACCTCATGGTGACAACAAGGCTCCAAGAAGTCACTGCGCTCAGCCAAGAAATAGTCAGCACATAACCCCCGAACACCTGAAATTGTCCTTTTTACACTTAACTTTTACTTAACTTTCAACAAACAAGACGCGTGCTTGGCATGAGGTACCAAACCTGGCAACCTCACTGTGATGACACACCCTCACTGCACCCAGCTTTTTGTAGGCTAACTGTTTCCTCTTGCCTCCAGTATTTAGGCTAAGCTCGGCTAACCACATCCTGACTCCAGCTTCGCACATAACACACAGACATGAAATTGATATTGATCTTATCGTCTAACCCTTTCGAAGGACAGCAAATAAACATATTTCCCTCTACTATATCTATACCTACTATACCTTTAACACAATACTCGCAGGTCATATGTCCATTGAAAGAGTTCTTAGTTGCAGTATTTATTCCTTCAAGTGGCATTGAAGAGAGTTCTTACTAGTGTCAAAGTACATTAAGAAATAGGAGACAAAATCCACAGGCCTGGAACCATGTAAAATTATACATTTTGGGGCTTTTTTTGTGTAGAAGCTAGTCTTGAGATTGATATGTTTTTCTGTGTCCTATGGCAGACACATACGTCCTGGTTAGGGATGCATTATATGGATTTCTTTCAGCCAATAACCAATAATGCTTCTCATGGCCAGCAGCAATAAGATAACCGATTTAGTGTTTTAAAAAGAAGTTAATATCCTATGCACACCTGCAGGTAAGAAAGTCAAAAAGGTAGTGAGCTAAGATGGATGATTTAATATTGTATCAAAACGTTTTCCCTCCTCTCGGAAGCCTTGTGGATTGTCTTCCTCTGACACTGTGAAAAACATCCATATGTTTGGCTTTCGAGTCTAGTGCAGCAGTTTGACGCCATGAGTGCGAAAACAGCTGCTGTGCTTGTTGAGTCAATGAAAGCAATATCAGCGATAATTTAATTATTGTTAAGTTTGAAACCTACTGTACACACAACTGGTCAGGCCAAAGATACCCACTCAAATTGATTAACTCAGACTGCTAAAGCCTCATATTAGCTCCGGATTAACTAATCCATGTTTGCACAGAACAGGGATTGAGGATCTTACTTCTTACAGTATTAGTGGGACGAGACCATGTCATGACCAGCAGGGACAGGAGCCATGATTACACTGAAGCAATAATTCTCTCAACGTGTATTTGACATGACATGTGAGTGTTGTGACTTGAAAAAAACCCAACCTATCCTTAAAGCAACAACACCTGCAACAGGCAGGATTTAGTAAGAGAGGAGATAAATAATATACACAATATCAACATGTGGAAAAAAGTCATGCAAGAAAGAAGAAAAGCACGCCTGAAAAAGATTCTGACATATGGAAGGAGACGAAGTAGAGAGACGAAAGTAAGAGACAGTAAAGAGGGGAGGGGGACGTGTTTCCGGCTCTACTTGGCAGTCTTGGAGGGCTGGATAACATCTTTAATATTTGATAACAAGGTTCTCCTGGTATTGCAAACACTTCTACCAATAAGAGGCAGAGAGAAATATGGCAATGTACACCAGACACACACGAGATCTTCAATCGAGACATCTCAAGGTGATCTTACACCCTTAGATTTCCACCCCAAAATCCATTGAAGTCCAAATCCCAATTTCACCACTGTGAGAAAGCGATGTTTGTGTAATGCTTGTCACCCCCTGATATTGATATAAAGGGCAACCTGATCGAAGAATATTTCTTGAAATCTGTATTTATAACAAAATAAACGGCAAAATAGACATGTTGAGAGAAAGACACAAAGTCCTGCATGAATGATAAAATCTTACTCAAGCTTTAAGTAATCAGGAAAATAATTTTTCAAATCATCAGACAAGCAACAAATAAGATTTTGTTTTTCAGCTTATTAATTCTCTTAGTTTTGGTGATTATGAGAGAACTTTGTTTGTGATTGTTTTTAATTACATTCCACAATGACATTTTCAGGACATAAACAGCGACTGTGTGTGCTGTAAACAAGGTATTTCATTGCACCCTAAATGGCAAAATGAGCCACCTTGAAAGGAATCTCGCATCTGTACCTGTGCAGTGCAAAAGGCTACACTGACATTTTGTATCCTCCTGCTGTAGGCGAGGAACTGGGAGCTCTAATATGACCTGAAATCTAATAAGGTGGAAAAACCTGCAGATTTGAAATACCGTCTCCAAAATAAAGTGTATTCTCCTGGGATTTATTTTACTCAGAGACAACGATAAGACGTGCCTATTCTCCACCAATGCTTCAAAAGAGTGCTTTGCTAGTTTAATGACAACCTGTCTGCCTATCACTTAAAATCCAACGTGATTGCATTAGACTTGCTATGGAGCTAATATAACCAAAACCCTAGTATTTAAAGGCACACAAGCTGCAGCTAAAGTGCTTTAAAGCTAAAAGTCTCAGGTGAATTTTAAAGAGAACTGTGTTAATGCAAACCAGGCTATAACAGACTCTAATTGCTCTCCTTTTTTATGTTTTTATATATATATATATATATATGTTTATATGTATATTGCACTGTTGCTGGTTAACAACAGAGCACAGCTAGAATTAAGATGCTATTAAAGAAAACATTTAGCCTTCCACCTCCCCATTTACCATTTCCTGTTTTGTCTGTGTTACAAAGAGCAGTGACGTGTTGCAAGGCAAGACCCTGTGTCATTCCACACTGATGAGGTTTTTGACTGCTGGGGGATTAGCAGTGTAAGCTGTGGTATATGTGACTTTAAGGGGGCTGTTTGTTTTGCTCTCTTTGCCATGACAAGCTGCACAAGTTCAGCTGAGTTAAAGTAAAATGTGAACTGAGAGAGGAGGAAAAAAGGAATAGCATCGCTTTAATTCTTTACATGCTAAAATTAGACACATTTTCCCTAATGGTGCCAATATCTGTTGACCAAATTTAATCCAATAAAATTTGAACACTGTGTTTTCACCCACATGAGATAAAAGCTAGGCCATTAGCAGTTTAAGCTGTTCTATTAAAAGGCTGTACTGTCAATACTAATTTCAGTGTTATGCCCTTCTCCTTCTCCTATACTGTTTGTCCTGTCGTCAGAGTCATCTACTCCTCCATATAAGCCCATTATAAACCTCCTTCTCCTGACGGGAGCCGCTCATTGGAAGCCACAGCACAATTCTGACTCACCTATGAGCCATCAATGTTTACTGGGATATTTACAGGGCTGTGAGACAAGAAAGTACACAGCTCCACTGGGGAAGAGGAAAGGAAGAATGAGGAGAGCAGAATCGCTAAGCGCACAGGGAAAAGCAGTACTTGACAGAGAAAGAGAAGGCTGTTATTATTGTATTCATGACTTATCTGTCCTGATGTGGTGATAGAGCAGAATAGTGGTTAGAGAGTCTGTTTTATAACAGAAAGATCACAGCTCAGCTCTCACTACATCCATCAGCAGTGAAGCGCTGCTTAGCAAGACACTCAACCACTTCCAGCTCGCTCATTGTTAAACATTCAGCATAAGAGCAACAGCTATTTAATACATTTAATAAGGGTATTGTAAAAGTAATGATTCACACTGAAAATTCCATGAATTATTTGTCTTAAAACTGAGCTGATGAACTGTTTTACTGGCAGGAGTCCTTGCTAGCCTTTTTCTGAGGGGCAGAAGAGTACCTTTTCATCTTAAAATAATATTTCTCTCTATTGAGAACAAAACTTGTAACACTTTGTATTTGTCCTTGTGCATGGACTACAGCCACGAAATGTTCTCTAAGATATTTGCGTGTAAGTGTTCCTGTGTGTATGCTGTATGTCTGTTTGTTGCTATTAAACACACAGTTTACCTTATTTTCAGATCATGTAATGTTGGTAAAACAGTGTCACCCAACACCTATCCCCCTGTTTGTACAAAGGACTATTATTTACATAGTGAAGGTCAGATCTTGCAGGGCCGAACAGAATTTAATTAAGTCGGGGGGATTGACAGTTCTTGATAAAATGCACACTACTCAACTTAATTGCTTTTTGACAGCTCCGCAGAGTTTGCAGAAAAAATAAATTGGATTAATAGATGGATATCCCTCATGCTCACCTGACTGTGCCATCTACAGGCCACAGCACATCAGGCACCCACAGTAGATGCCAGTCAGTGTCTGTCTCCTGTAAGTAGGCAATGACATGCCATGCAAATTGTTGGAATCGGCTGAATACACAGTACACAGGCCTCAGTGGGTGGAATCTCTACTAGGCATGCCCATATGAGACCTAGTTAGGGCCCTTGAGCACTTACATTAGCCACATTCACAAGGGAATCAATGCTAATTAAATTGCAAATGCAAGTAATTAACACCAGATTCACCTTGAGGCTAAAATGAGTGGTGATCACCAAAACCTGTGTAACATTTTTCAGCTGTAGAAGATGTCGGGCAATGGGTCTCTAGATCTTCATCATGAAAATAAAACCTCTCTTGACTGTACAACTGCTGTTAGAGGAGCATCTGGTTTCATTAACACATCATGAAATCAAAGTCAAAACACTACAAGACTGATGCAAGATAAGAAGATATCATCACTTTGACAAACTTTGTACCTGGTATTCATTAGGCCAGAAGGTGCTGACAGCCAGCTCAACCTGGTGCCACTGCTTGGCATGAGACCCCGACGTGTTCCACACTGGACTGCCGAGCGGACCGCCATTGACTCGCACATACGCCCGCAGGGCCCCTGGACTGTGACCATCACGGCTGTACAGGAAGTAGCTGAACTGGACGCAGTGCGTGTCATTTTCACTCAGCGTCTGCAGCAGCAGCTGAGCACGATGACCCACGGCATGCTGGGAAGAGTTCACCAGCATATAGGATCCTGGAAGGAATAGAAGAAATACATCAGATATTTATAGTATTCCAACTTTATGGGTCACCACAACAGTTTATCACTTCAGCCATCCTGTTACGTTTTCATACAATGTTCTGCTTCAGAAAACAATTCATGTTGTGAATGCCAAATATTAAAAGTTTTAAAAGTCAGGATGATTGGTTTTGAAGCCAATCTATTTCATCCTAACTTATGAATATCAGCTATTTTATTCCTAACAACATTGTTATCTTTGGTTTATTTTAAATCAATGTGTTCCCTCTACCCTAGCTGTCATATATGGTCAGAGACGCATCTCCAAGTTGTGGCAGTGAAGCATGCATTTTAAAAAGTTAACAAGCACCTAAAATGCCTGCGGTGTTAAATCATTTTAAATAATTGGAAATTGAAAACAGCCAGACACTGTCTGCAATGTTTGTCTTTCCAGAGGCAGTTATAACATGTAACCTTTTGGTTAGTGTTCTTTTATTCATTTATTTTATGTAAATAAAGATATTTATGGCATTTTACAATTTGTTTACAGTTATATTTCTCTAAAAATGAGAGCCATATAAGGAAAACAGTGATGTAATGTACTACAAGTGTGCACCGTGTATTCTGTATCAAGATTTACATATTGGAAACAGACACTATCAGAAGATACTATAAATTGATTGATATAAATAGAGATATCCCAAAATCTCTCCTCAAGTTAAACTTACTAATGTACCATGAGATAAAATGAACTACGATCAATGCTGTGAAAAAAGTACATAATGTAAAAATATGCACCTACAATTTTGTCACATTTTGAGCAGCCAGAATGACTAGAAATCTGAAAAAGAGTACAGATTACTTAAATCAGTCTTACAACTGTGAATATGTCTAGCACAGTATTAGCTGGTACTTGATTTATAGATAACTGGTGGAGGTTTGTATATGAGCCACTGAGAGATTTGTGTTTAGTAGACTCATATGAACCAAGGCAAACATATCACAAAGGAACAAATCCGCTTTTAACTACTTTTAGCAGGGTGAATCCGCAAGAAGAGAAATGAAAGTATTCTCCTGCTATTGGTATGTGTGTAGGCGGTTAATAACAGGAAAAGAAAGGTGCCCTGTTGCATAAAAAGACGCAATCGGTGCTGGCTAAGGCTCTAGTTCTTGTGAATAATGAAGAGAGTTACAGAGTAAGTAAAAGATGGAAGAAAAAGCCGACAGACTGAGAGAGACAAAGAACCAATGGCAGTTTTCCCTCTGCAAGGTGACGCCGAGGTAGGAAACGAGATTCACAAAACCCCCTAAAGCCTCCTCTAATCAGGATAACATAACCCCATTGCCCTTTGCCTAGCATCTGTCCTGCCTTGAGTCTGTGCCCGCTAACGTGATTAGCACAACAATGTTGGGAGACCTTCCTGTGTACTCACATAATCAAGCCTGTTGTCTTTGTACTCCAAGGTCTTTCTGTTCTCAGTCAGAAATGAGCCCGAGAGACCAGACAGTCACAGCCTTGGCGCCAGGTGTCCTGAAGACAGTTATTCTCCACTCAGATGTAATAGCATGTGAATGCTGAATTGCCAGACAGAGAGAGAATTCTTTACATCCTACACAGACTGTAACTCTAAATGTGGAAGCATCCCCGACAAAAGGGCACACTATACTCCTTAATGTTTTCACGCCTTCCAAACAACTCACCATTCAAACAAAAGTGCTATGAGTTATAAGTACAGAACTCTTATTTGTTCTTCAGGCTTGTCTTTCTCTCCATCATGCAAAACAAGACACCTGACGGAGTGATCTCTTTCTTCACCGGCACTACCCAGATACTGAGAAAACACTAATTAGCTCTTTAAGTGCAAATAAGGCAAAGCGCCTAAATTTGCAGGCGAATGTTTTACATAATGAGATTGAGATTCACAACCCTTAACCCCGAGCTATAAAGAAAGTCAAATTGTGGACCACATAGAAGTAAGGATGGTCATTATCTGGAGGCTAGAGTGCGGCCTTTACTACAAAGTCCCATTGCCCTGCAGCCCACTGTCAACAGCCCCTGATTTGTGTCTCGTCCTGGGCTGGGGATCTCGACACTCTCATTTCGCTTTGCTTAATTAGATCTTTCAGAATCCGTCTCCTCTCCAGCACCCTCCAGGCCCACAGGGGACTCATAAAATAATAGCAAAGGGCTGAAGTGCTGCAGCTGTACTGTCCTCACTGCTGGTTACATCCTGGATGTGTGCCCCTCGTTTTATATATAGACATTATTAACACCTTTCTGTTGACTTTGCAAGTAACTATAATGTCACGTGGGGACACATGAGCCAGTCGTTCTGCTGCCCTCTGACCCCTTTTGAGTACCGCATGTGAGTGCATATGATGTATGAAAATGAAAATGTCCATGAATTAAACATTGTGACAAATTAAATTAAGGTCTTGGACACATTCTGTCGAGTAATCCTGATATATGGTGAGATAATCAATGGCAGCCCATTCAATATGGACATTATGCATAACTTTAGTTGATGTAATTTGGCAGTGTCTTGCCTCTGGGGGAAACAACATGGTTCTTAAGAAAAAATTTGTATCTGAGGGGTGAAATGGGGTAATAAATACACAATAAACAAAAGAAAAAATAATCGGAAAACACTTAGAACACCAAATGTAATCCCGGAGTCCAAGGTTACATCTTCATATTGTTTATTTTGTCTGACCAACAGCCCAAAACCCACAGATTTCCAATGATATAAAACAGATAAAAACAGGAAATCTTAAAATTTGAGAGACTAGAAAAAACACGTCTTGCTTTTGACTGAATAAATGACAATGGTCAAAATTGTTGGCTGTTACTTTTCAAAACAGGGATAGTGTATTTCAGTGATGGAATAGTAAATATTAACCTTAAGGCAAGTCCTTTTACCTTTACCTTGAGATGGGTACACTGAACAACATATTCAGAAGAAGCTGGGGAGGTGAAGAGCATGTTACCTTTCACCAAGCCATTATTAGCAAGTAAAGGAGAGGTCAGAGTGATTAACGCTACCTTGCCCACACAAAGTAATGACAACCTTCTGCAACTCATAGAAATCCTTGGATTTATCTGAAGATTACTTCTCAACGGGAGGTTGTCAGCCTTTATCATCATCAACTCCATGATTGTACACTTTGACTGTAACCTTCAGTTTGTCATTAGCACTTAAGCGTTCGTTAGTTTGTCTGTAGGAGATTTCTGGTAGTCTCTTTTTTACCTGAAGTAATTTAAGCTGTCGGTTCAGTGGAACTTGAAGTCGCCATGTGTTAAATCACCCTTTTTTAAAGTTCACTGGGAAACTGTCAATGGACACTCTACTGTATAACTCCAATGACCTTTTGATGCATTGACATGATGGTCCTATGCAGATTGATGTAACTACTGTAACTATTGTGGCAACAGTGCTGAATATTCCCATTTCCCATATCAGTTTTGATATTAAGCTGCTTGCGATACATGATGATAAAGTGCTATTACAAAAATATGGATAATGCTTAGGTTTTGTACAATTGTTCAAATTTAACACAACTGTGTATTTGTTAAGCTTTCTTTTAAATCTTAACCACATAAAGTGTAAAATAAAGGATGCTTTGCTGTTACTTAGGGCCATAGACATTTAACTAAACTAAAATTCTATTTTCTTAATATTACCTTGCTTCCGAGACATATTTAGACAGCATTGTGTTTTAATATACCTGTTAACCTTGTTCTTCCGTGAAACGTGATACTATATTTGCCATGGCATAAAGGCACTGTTAGTGTTCAGTTTAAATTCTGCTTGATTTAATCTCCCCCTTTGATGTGGGTGACTACTGTCTTTTAGTTGCCAGTCAGGGCTTACTTATGGCTTGCTACAATGCTAGCAGTAGCATTTCAGTTGTTCTTTGAGAGGTTTTTCCATGTCTGCCTCCCACACCTGTGGTGTCCCCCCAGGCTCATTATTAGGGCTGCTGTTAGTTTTGTGTTTATACACTGTCATGGAACACATACAGAATTTCCGAGACTAGTCTTTTTTCTTGGCCATTTATCAACCAATACCAAATAATCTTCAGCTGAGGACCCAAACCTAAATTAAATAGCTTTTAACGCTGACTGATTTACATAATTAAAGTACATTTTCATGTCCTCTTGATTGGGAAACAGTAAAACATATTTATACTAAAGTAAATTGCCCACCTCTAGATCAAATTGTGGAGAAGAACACATAACCTCATTCTTGCCTCTATAACAAAACAGTGACAGTTTTTAAATCACCTCTTCTCCTGGGTTTATCAGGTCACCTCTTACATTTTTAAAGCTTTTTTCTGTTTAATTATCTTCCTTTGTTGTCTTATAACATTGTTTTACTCTGCTTACTCTTCTGTTTTTCATGCAAATAACTTTTCATGTTTACATTTTTCAAGGTAAATGCTTGAAAATAAATGAAAACTAATCAGATCAAACTGTAGTGTTTAACGCTACCATACATGCCCCCCACACACACACCTTTCATGAATTATACGCCAACGCACTGTGAAATCTGATAAAAGTTCCATCCATCCACTGATGCCCCTCCCAAGGGCAAAAGAACATCCATAACAAGATTAGGACTGATCCAGCACATCATAATTCATACGGAGCACTGCTGGACTACAACCTGGTCACGGGCTCTAGGTGACACTATCTGTGGCAAGCCACAACAGACGAAGAAGGGAAAGGAGGACGATAAACAGAAGCTGAGGTTTGGGTTGTGCAGTGTTGATACATTAGGTAAGGTCATAAACAGGGAAAAAACAAACATGCAAAGAGCAAATAAGACAGAGTTATTGACATGGGAGATGGTAAATATATAAAGGGTACCAACGTGCAAGCAGAAGGTTAAAGCATAATTATGTTCCTCCTGTGTCAAATGTACTGAGTCTTCCTCTGAATGACTCATTCAGCAAAACTCTGTTCCTCTGACATCCAAGGCCAGAGTCCAACTAATCTCAAATACACAAGAAAC